TGTACGAGGATAGCCAGTAGATGCCCGTAAAGGGTAGGAATGCGTCCCACCGCGGTGGCGAGTGAACGCGCATTGCACTTTAAGTGCGTTACACAAACTGCACAGATGTTGCCCTCCTCACCCCGCGTCTAGTCGTTTTGTGGCTTCCATCTAGCAGGTAAGGAACGGCCTCAAACTTACATTTTCTATGTTTTTTTCTGTATAAAAATAATTTTTACGTGTCCTATTTTATTTCATTCGCTTTTCTTTAGTATTAATGCTTAACCCCCCCCCACTTTTTCTTTGCTTCCCGTTTCAAATATGATTTTCCAAAAAATTGTAAATTATTGTAAACCTTTACATAATCTTGTGTTGTTAAGTCACGTGTAATGTTTTTTGTTTTTTTGTGGTTTTCTTCTTGTATCAGACAACTGATGATGATGGCTAAGCCATCGAAAGCTGCTTTTGAATTAAAAAACATGTTGGCAATGGCAACATCTTTAATTATTTTAAAAAATATGGAGCTACTTTTGAGAAAATTTTGAAAATGTTTTTGAGGCTTCACGTAAAGTACCCTAAAAAATTATGTTTGAAACTCACAAAGCCTCGGGTTCATTCAGGTCGACTGGGAAATGTCATTTTTGAAAAAAAATCGCTTGAACGGTTTAGGTCTTAGCATTGACCACAGACATACGGACAGACGTTTTGCAGTCAATAGATTTTTCAACATCGAGGATGCACAAAACGGATTCTGGCTTCACCATGTGTTTGAAATTTTTTTATATTTAGCACAGGTTTTATTCACTTTTTCGTTACCAGAACCACGCAATAAGAGTTCTTCTGCCGAAAATTCTACGTTTTCCTGCGTACGATGATATAACTTTCTTATCTTATGAAGTACCTCCGTATGGGCGAGGAGGTAAAAATAAAGAGTATTTAATTAGAGTAACAAAAGTGATTACTTATTTTCAATTAAAAAAATCATATTCTTTTTCTCCCATTCTTATTCCTTCTCTCTTATCCTTGTTTCTGCCCTTCATGTTAATGGAAGTATGAATGATATTGATTGGAGCCTTCTAGAAGTATATAAAGATATGGATTTTATGAGAAATTGATATTAATAAATATAGATAAAAGAATAAAATATCTCAATTTTCTACCAAACAAAATAATGTCAAAAAATGGTACAGGCGATTGTCTACAATGGAGGTATCTCGAACACGTGACTTTTAGTGTCTTTCGTAGGGCAGCTCCGTCACCTCTGTGTGACAAGCTTCAGGCTGCTATAAGCCGTGAACTTACTGATAAAACACGACATGTGCCAATTTTCTTTTAAAACGTCGTGATTGTTATGTTCACTTGTTCAACAGTTCACAACAACAACAACTTGTTCACAAGTTGAACGTAGACTTAATGTTACTTTATTCAATCTAAATTCGTTACATTTGCCGAGCAAGAAATCACTTGGAGGAACTTGGGGGCGCCGGCACACGGCCGGAGTGGATGGCCTGGCGTGACAAAAGACGCGTCTCGCCGATGAGAAAATGATGCTCGTTTTCAGAAAGGCATTAGGTTATGTATAGTATTTTATACTCCATTCGTCCATTCGTCCCAGGGCGCTCATCTCTGCAGATATCTCATGGCCGGCACCCAGATCACAGGTAGGCATACGCTTGGCGCCCTCCTTAACAAAATTAGCGCGTGCTCATGGTATCTGGAAACGACCGTCGCACCTTCAGTGTGACGGCAGCCGCTCCCCTATGATAGTGTGACTCACAGCGGCCCGGCAAAAATTGTGTCGCGTGGTCCATTAGAGTAACGTCACGGCCTACGTAGGTCGCCCCGATGTGCGTGCTTCTGAGCGACATCGGGGAGGCAAGCAGAGGCAGTGCAGTGATGGAGTGAGGCGGGTAGGGGCATTGCGGAGTGGGGTAGTGGTTGGAGCGAGGAGTTGGTCGGGCGAGTAAGAGCCAGTCTGTTACGAGGAGCGGAACTGGACGGACGAGTTTCGAGTTGGTCGGCAAGTCGCAAGGAAGTCGCCCGTGGCGAAGAGACGCCGAGCCCGCTCCGCTTGTCTTGACGTCGTGTCGTATCGACGCACTCACGCCGAAGCGTCGCCCTTGCTCGCCCAGTTGCTGCATGCCGTGGCGAGGATACGTCGCGCCTGTTCAGCATGTTTGGACCGCCACGCCTTCGCCTGTCCGGCCGCTGCACGTCCGTGGCGAGGGGACGCCGCGCATCTACTTCGCTTGCCTTGCCGTGCGTCACGTTGACGCGTCCTTCGCATTGATCTTGCAGACGCTAGGCGGAGGAAGCATTTGTTTATTCAAGCATTGTTTGCTCGTTTTTGTTTTGTTATTGTAGGTTTTTTTCCAGAAGAATAAATATTTAGTATAGTTATATAGTTGCTTTTTTCACGAAGAAATTGCACCCAGCCTGGACTTTCCTATATCTGAATGGTGACTTTCGCAGGAGCAGAGTCTGCGTCCTATCCATTGCCCGAAGAGAAAAAATAAACGTGACAATACAGGTGTCCGAGGAGGAAACGTCGGCACTTCGAAAATAAGCTCTTCAGGCAATATTGAGCATATTTTGGTTGATAAACTACTTGGATATTACGAATGGCTGAGCCGCAATAAACTCTCTGAAGTTTATTTTAAAAAGTGCTTCTAGAAACAAATTTGCATTGCAGAAGCGTAGAAAAACTCCAGAAACATGTAAATTGTTTATGATTTACAAAAGAAATTAATAATTTTGTTTGCAAAGAAATATTAACACAAATAGAATGCAACAGAATTGTGAAAATTGGGTCTTTTCAAAGCTTTTAGGAGCACTACATTCAGTCATCTTGACACGACTTTAAATTGCCGCTGGTGTACACTTATAAAAGATGTACAAAATATCTTCTTCCTTCTTTGATGCATAACTCAGACCGTCGTAACACGGAAGCCGTTACTGACTCCAATACTCTTACTCACGATTTCCTCAAGAATAACACAAATTCGCGTTAAAAGAGTAGCTTTGTTGTCAAAATTTTGTGCGTATACTACTCTTTAAATGACCTAAAGATAAAAATCAAGTGGAGTAAGATCGGGAAATCTTGCTGTCCAATTTTTAAGTCCACAGCGACTTATTCATTTTCCTGGACATTTCTTGTGAACATAGTTTTGTAATTTGCTTTTAAGATGTGGCGGCGTTTCATCGTGCTGGAAATACGACGAAGAACGAACGGGAGAGGCATATCATCTAGATGGGAAGGTAATTCATGTTCTAAGAACATCAAATTCGTGTTTCCAGTTTACGTTCCGCCAAAGAAGTGAGGACCTATAATTAAATTTCCAACTTAAAATTCTGCACCACATATTTACGAAAAATTCCACTTGGAAATGCCTTTCACATGTTGCATGTTGCATTAGAAGGAGCCCATAAATGAATATTTGTAGAATTAATTATTCCACTTCTCGTGAACTGTGCCTCGTCTGTGAATAATATCTACCTGTAAATATCAGCTCTTTGAAGAAACCATGTATCAACAAGTTATCAAGAAGCCAGGTCGAGTTTGATAGTAACGCTCGAAAGAAGAGTCCCGTTTCATTTGAATTTAATTTTTTGTGTGTGTAAAAACCGAAATCTTATTAAGCAATTTCATTCTTTTCACTAGATTCCCAGTAAATTTCGTGCCTTTAATTAAAGCTAACCCTCAACCTGAAGATGTCTTAAAGTGTTCGTTTTACTAAGTTTTCGCCTCAACTAGAGCTTGATTTTGAAGCAATGGTGCATAAATATGCTGATTTTATTATCTTACATTCGTGAACCACTCCCACACTATTTAATTTACTTCTTCATTGTACCGATTTTCCCTACCTTTTCTCTTCATTTCACCGCTTCTTTGCAGTTTCATTATTCTATCCTTGTTCTTCTGTGACACTTAAATTTGCGTTTTGTCACTTTTGGACCTCGACATTATTTCCCGTATTCATTGTTTTTCCTTCTCTTTAATTTCAATAATTTTAACTTTACTGTTTAGTGAGAAAGACGCATACTCAATTCCTTCGTCAGTAATGATGATTTTTTTCCTTTCTACTGTGACGATGAGATTCCTCTGCCCTTCTCCACAAAACCCAGCACGTCATTGTCTTTTCTACGAAACAGTCCAAAAATGAACGAGAATATTGACGCCTTCCCTTGACGCCTGCGCGAAATCATTTCACCCTGATCTGAGCTCGTTGCGCCAGGTGCTTGCAAACAATAAACGACGAAAATTCCAGAAATATGGTTGCCTGTTTTCGCTGTAAGGACTTGGACAGTTTTCAATTATACAATGAAGTTTACCAAGTCGTCGTTTTCTGTTCAAATTGGATACTTTCTGCATTGAGTAAGTTTTACTACACACACATATACATATATATGTAACGTTTGGTTATATTCCAAACACCTCAAAACATCCACCAGATTAGTTGAATATCAAGAGAGTTCGGAGTTTTCGGCGTCCGCGAGGGAGTAGACTGAGTATTCTGTGAGCTGCCGACCGCAATGACGGCAGGGGGAAGCGGTGACTGGAGGTTCCGTTGCTGAAGGAGTGGTTGACGCCTTCCCTTTCGAAACACTCACTTGAAAGCTTCTTCTGATGTTTAGAAAACGCCGGGCTGAAGCATCCATATTTTATAACATAGTACTTTATTGAAGTATATATAGTACTATATTGTAGTATACATAGTACTATATTGTATAATATAGTACTTAAAGTACGTTGGAGCTACGTGTTAAAAAACCGTTAATTGGAGCATTGTGTAAAAACACGTTGCACTAGAACGTGCAATTGTATGTATTCGAGTGTTAGTAGTACGAGAAAAGAGGCGGTGGAAGAGAATTGTACCAAAATTGCGAAAGAAAACTGTTCGCATTCTGGAGGCCGCAAATCAACCGTTTTATCGCAGGCGGATCTATAGAGTCATATAGATGTTGGAGGAGTACGTTCCCGGAAGTGTAAGGGAACTGTGGGAGCGAGTTTGTGACACAACATGACTTGGAAGAATACGGAACGTGCGTGTGCACCACGCGACTGGAGGTGCTACTTCGGAGCCAGCTGCCGAGACGAGCACAAGGCACGGGCGGTGCCGCGGCCAGGTCATCGCAAGACGGACGGCGCCGAGGCAAGGAGGGCAGCCAAGGCTAAACAACGGTACGTCTCAGGCCGAGGCGATGCACGGTAAAGAGCATCAATTTGATAATGAGACCGATAAACAACACCGTGGATCTGGAGGCCGGGGACCAGCAAGTGCTCGAGGGATAGGCGTAAATTGGTCAAATAATTGAAAGTTAAATTAAATATGTAATTTGTTCTGCAGAACTGTTTTCGGCACGGAAGCTGCAAGCTCTGAGGATGATTCCTACGCAATCGAAACGATCATCAGCCAAATAAATTGATACCAGACATCTTTTATTTATCATTCTTCATACTTATTATACATGTGATACAATAAAGAACACTAAAATACATACAATACATAGTTCAATATTATTTCATTTAAGGCATGCCTACTAAATGCAGAGGCCCTTCACAGACTACTGATTTTATGTTTACTACACTATTACTAGAATTTCATCTTAATATAAAATACTTGATGTTTGTGTGAAAAGTCTCCATTAGAGCTGCAGGCAAGCTATTTCATGACCCGATAGTCCTATTCACAAAAGAGTATTTTCCATCGTCAGTTCCTGTTTCCGAGGGCGTATTTTTCTAATATGGTTGTGGCGGAAAAAAATTACGAAAATGTAAAATCAATGTCCTTTGGGCAGAAAAAGATTGAAGTTCTGAAGGCATAACTCAACGCGGTAAATCGTTTTTCCAGGTTAAAAGCAACAGAGACTTGTGACAAATGATTATCCCTGAGCCAGCCTCGAAACAGCGGTCTTTCTCCACCAAACGCTGAGGCCGAACTCGACATTTAACCTCTTCTGCCACCCGGGTTATACAGAGAATTAGCACTTCTAATAGTCATAAGCACCGAAAGGCAATTGATTTGATGGTTCAGACGTTTTACAAATCCAATAAGAGATGTGAACAATTGTTCAAAAGTTAATAAATTGAAAACTACATGCAAACATTTCCATTATATTTATCTTGATTAATAATATTTGCGATTAGAATTCCTTCAAGCGGTTTTCAATAAAGTTTGTGGAATCCTCAATTATTTCCTGCGGAAACACAGAATTGACACAAATAATAATTACCGGCCAAAATTCGACCCGGAAACACTTCCCTCCGAAGAGCTGGACCCGTGCCCACCACTTTCGCCACTTTGGCCATTCCGTTAGGGCATGACATGAATACTTCTACAATAGTAATAGAGAAGGTGTGAAAAAAATTGTTTTTCGACCGAAAAAATGAAAGCAGCCGAGAAGAGAATGGGGCTTGTCGCAAAGGCCAGTCTAGAGTTCAGAGATTAGAACACTATCTAGGACAAGAATGTCAGTGCCATTCTATAGCAACACTAGTTTAATTATTTATTTGTTTTTTATTTATTTGTTTATTTTTTATTTATTTGTTTGTTTATTTGCTGCAACAAACTTTTTTTAGGTAAAACATCTTCAGTTTTATAGGTTTGAAATGGTTTTGCAATTTTTGAATAAAACGTGCAACACCCTAAAATGGAACTGGCACCATATTTCTTACCGTCCCTTATTACAAACGTGTAAATGAATTGGAGCGGTTTTTAGAATTTTTTCGTAAATTTCAACGCAAATGAACAAAAACCACTCGTTTTTTCATAGCATTGAACATTACATTTTTAAAGACCTAATTTTTTACAACAGACTTCGTCTGAAAAAAACCTCTATTATTAATTTTCAAATTTTAATTTTTTTTTCAATTTTCGAAAAATCAGGGATATCATCGAAAACTGCACCATTCTTTTAAACATTTTTGCGCTGTTGAACAAAAAAATTTAATCAAAAACTTTGGAGCGGTTTTCTTGAAAATGTACCCCCAAAATTAAAATATTGGTTTTTAAAATTTCAGGAGCCGCGACTTCAGGCAGACCAGGGAATATCAATTTTGAAGAAAATCGGCTTAACGGTTTAGCCGTGATCATTGACCACAGACGGAAGGACAGTTTCCGTCAATCGATTTTTCGGTATTGGTCCGGCTATGAGAATTTTTCTTGCGAAAATCGTCGTTTTTCGACGCACTATTTCATAACTTTCTCTTCTTTCGAATTATTCGTAAGGCGAGAAAGTAAAAAATGTATAAATTATAAACAATACAAATCCTCTTCAATTATCTACAACCAATGTGATTCCAAATTTCTAAACAATAATGAATGAGAATTTACAATATATTATAAATTATCATTCATTTAAATAGTGCCTAGGCACTATTGTTGCGCTTAACTTTCCTTAAATAAGATGCTGAAAGTGGTGTCCTTCGGTCCGAATGTATTCTTGGAACCTACGGAACATATTCTGACTTACCCTTTGAAGTAAGTCTCAAGGAATTTTGTACTATTTCTCTACAATATAGCGCATGTTGTGCGAAACGCCTCAAAGAATTTCTTGGAGATTGTTGTAACCTGTCAGAAATTTTGTTTATCTTCTCTTCTGTCAGGACATGGCGCTTTTGACACTTTTGTTTATTAAAATTCCATGAGTACGAAGATTTTTGACAAGCTTAAAATTTGTCGATCGCCATGTCTGGATATTTGTTAAGAAACCTTTTGCGGTACTTACTGCCAGACGTAAGTATAACGAAGGTGTCGTAAAGAAATACTCTCTGCTTCAAAGAAAATTTCATGAAGCTCAGTTGATCGCTCTCGGGACACTGGTGTATGGGCCGACCGACGAACGCGCCGGATGAACCGGGCCCTGATTGACAAGTCCCCGGGGCACCGAGGGCTCGATCGCTGAGGCAAGCGAAGCGTCTAATTCGGCGAAAGATAATATGTACACCTGGTAGATCAACCACTATCCGTGGGGTGCTCAGTATAACCTCATGTAAAGAAATGTGCAGATTCACAAATCATTCATCATAGGATGAATTCAAATTTACTAACAATAATTAATTTAAATTTACAATTTAATTAGATCAATCATTATCCATGTGCTGGCCAGTACAAAACCGTGTAATAAAATGTGCAAATCATGTGTTAACCAGTAGAATGTGGTGTAGGCAAATTAATAAGCACTGTAAGTTCTTAATTAACCATCTCAACGTAAAATGAGTGGTCCACAAAGCGGACGCAACCTTTTCACTTTTTGATCAACAGGGCGACCATTTGCCTTGTCAAACCTGATATTTCTGCAGAGAGGTTTCAAGATGGCTTGTTCCATACCTCAGTACCGGTATCATTCATCACGTCATAGTGGAGATGTCCTTTATCTTAAGTGTCGCCGCCCCTTCCGCTGCTCAAGTGAACAACATCACGTTCCTTCAACTGCTGATATTAGGACAAAGTAACAATGGAGGTTTTCGGGGAACCTGTTCGTACATCCGTTGAGATGCTGACCCATTTAGGGAACCAACCAATGAGAAACACTGAGCCAGCACATTCAAAATCCTAAACGATCTTTGGATAATTACAGTAAGAGCGGGAGTATGTCGAAATGACTGAAGAGGGAGCTTGAGTTGAAGTGATAAAGGTCTTCGGCATTCGAGAGATAGACTTGGTCAGTAAGACTTGCTCGAAAACGGACATGAGGGAGAGATGCAAGAGAGTAAAAGCTGATTCGAGCTCGGTAGTCCAAGTTGGACTTTGGCGTTGCACGTTGATCTGAACTTGCATGACATTCCGCAGGACAGGTGTTTTGGTGAAGTGTAATTGAATAATTGAAGTGCTTCAGTTACGCCAGCTCCCACAATTACGCTAGTATTATGCAATACGGTATCGTGTGGGTAGCTGCCAACGTGCAAATTAAAGACTTTTCAATGACTACTGCCTCGTAGTCAATTGGCGTCGTGTAGTCACGCACACGCATGTCAAACGCGTGGTGGATAACAAGGCTGTTGTGTACAATTGGAACGATACAACACGTGAGCGGGTGTGAGCGGGTGCGTCGTGGTTGAGCTGGTGGACGTGGACGAGCCATTGTACGCGGAATCCGTTCCTCTGGCAGCCTTGCAGGGGAGCGAAGGCACTGACTAGTGGTGGTCAAAAGGTTACGCTCCCTCCTCTCAACTGGTCTCTCAGGCGGTCATGGGACGCAGACGAGTTCAAGTTCAGAAGGTGCAACGGGTATGTAAGAGACCTATTGTTAATATTATGTGACTGAAAGGGTCAAAGGACCGAAAGATCAGGAGCATGAAGAAAAGTGTTATTGTTAGGGTACGAGTAGTATTAGTAATAATATTAATAACTGTGTGCGCAATGCGATTTTCGGCCATAAATGAATCTAAATTCCGAATCAGAGTAAATGGCTTGATTATTCACAAATACAAAAAAAGTATTCTCATTTTCACTTCATAGTTCTTAGCAATTCCACAAAACCAATAGTATATTGTATTAAATAATATAATAGTTGTTTCCAAAACATCTTGAAAATCCAACTACGTGCTTCACCGAGGAACTTGCAGACAGGCATCTTAGAAAGGTAAGACCGTGGATACAAATGTGTGTGCGCGATAACGAGGATAGAAAATGGGGAATCGAACTCACAGACCGATGTTTATCTAAAAACAGCCCAGTCAGAAAAACGACATGCGGGTAAACATCTCAATACTTGCATTAAATTCCTAATGCCGGTAGCGACTAAAACATTCCGTCTATATGTATTAAACATTTAATATCTATTGTAAACAAATAATACCCTTAATCAGAATTATGAAATAAATATGCAGATTTCTGCTTGTTTAATGAAGATACCAAGTCATTGCACTGCACTTGTTTTGCAAGGTTGCTAAGAATTGAATTATAAAAATCAGTTAATTATGAACTTCAACACTTCCCCATTAACTGATATACAAAGAAAACTACTAAACCATTTAATTTCCCAAGCTCAATTCTAGAACACATAGTTTTAAACTTGACTGAATTTAAGGCTTTTATAATTATATCACCTAATTGATCCTCAGAACGTACAAATTATCTCTCGACATCTCTTTCATGATAGTTTCCGAACAAAATAGTAACATACTTGAATGAGTTTTGACATTTTATGAAATTCTGGGTTTGTCACCAACGTCTTCGCGCTGGCATTGTCGACGAACAGAATTGGTGCACCTTCAATTGTACCGATTTCGGATAATAATCTCTTGAGACACATAAGTTCTTTAGCGCCTACATTGGATGCAACAAATTCTGCTTCAGTTGCAGAAAGGACAACTGACTTTTGCAGTTGCGAGCTCCACGATTTTGCTGTGCAATTACTAAGGGATACGAAACTATTTTTCGAAAGTCGAGTGTTGACGTTTCCTGCAAAATCGCCATTAGAATAAGCAGGAAGCCCATCAACAGCAGAGATGAAAAACAAACCAAAATCAGCAGTACCATGGAAGTACCGAAAAATAAGTTTAACAGAGATACAATCAAATACAGTGGGTTTAGCCATGTATCGAGCAAATTAAGAAACAGCTTAAGCTATGTATGGCCGAGTAACACAAGCCGGAAACAACAACGAACCAAGCACTGAACGATAAGGAACGAAATTGTTAAGTTTGAGATTAGTCGATTGGTCCGGTTGTTGATTATCACGATATTTATATAACTGGTGAAGGCAATTTTATGAACTTTTTAATATTTCTCGATACCATTTGAAATATATCTGTAATGATTCTACAAACTGATGACTGACTTATTCTATAGAGATCTACTCATATCAACTCACAAAAATAATAAAATAAAAACTCTTTTTCATACGAAGCATTGTAACCATCTTTGTAAGATAACCTAAAAAATACGCCCCGGTGGACTGCAATTGAAATCACAAAATTACGTTACAAATTACGATGTTGCATAAAATCTGTATGCCATTAGCATTTTTAGGGCTGGTGGTAATGATTATCCTCTATTCCTCAAGCCCACATTGTGGGTGAGCCACAGACACGAATGTTTACAATCGTATCAAAACGATATCTCTTCTTTATTTCGTGTTGCCTATGCATTTCCAAAGGATTTTTCATGTCTCTAAAATATTGGTATGGTATACGATCTTTCATTTTTGTTAAATAAAATAAGAACACACGGACTTACAAACTCTGTTTATTGATGTGTGTGCAGGCTACATCCATACAGCTCAATCTTCAGGACAAGGATCATCGAATGCGCATCGTGCTTATATACACCACACTTATATACATACAGTCACTAACTACATAGAAATCCTATAGATGCCAGTAAATACAATTTCTTTAATATAAATGTACGTAAATATTCCAACACGAGTCCTTACATTTATATTACAATACTCATAATAATATCTTACTCTATATCTACACTTATCCGATTACATTGAACATTTCTCGAATTTTCACGAACTTTATTTAACGATTTAGTAAAAATGTCAGCTACATTATTATTCTCATCTACTTTGAGTACATCTATAATTCCTTTCATGTAACATTCATTTACAAAGAGATAATGTACCTCAATATACTTTGAATTTTTTGAAAAGTTTCCAAATTTTGCAATGCTCAAAGCGCCTGAATTGTTTTCATATATTTTCACGGGTTTGTCAAGTTTTGCATAAAAAATATCCAAGATATCTCTCTGTTGTGTTCGTGCAGGTATTATTGAAGTCACATCTCTCGTTTAACAAACCGATCTTTATTTTAACATAACTTTAGCTGAATACAATGTGACACAATAATAACATTGAGCGAGTTCTCAATGGATCGCAAACTTTCGATCAGAAGTTTCGTCGTCTGCTCCATTTTGGGAACGCGATACAAAGTAGAACGATAATATTGTTATTCAGAGCCGGATGTTTTAAAAATACGATGATGGAGCAAGAACAATGGAAGTGAAGCATTAGGATTGCCTTTTTACATTCCCGTATACGTACTCATATACAGAGTAATATAAGTTGTACCGGAAAAGTTATGTAAAGTTGCGGAAAATCGATTTCGAGATTTCAACGGATATACGTTTTGGGGTCCCCAGATACCGAAAAGGTATTTATTTTTCAAAACGTCCTTCTGTCTGATGTCTGTGAACAATACTAGCGCCTAAACCATGAGCAGGATTGTTTCCAAACTGGAAAAAAAAACTGTACATCTGGCTCGAGTCGAGACTTTGAGATATTGAAAAACATTTTTCAAAACTTCAGGGCACTTTACATGAAGCCCCCCGGACACTTTCAAAATTTTCTCAAAAACTGCTCAAAATGTTTTTCTTAAAATTTTTTGTTGTAAAATAGAGTAACTTATAAAACTGGCGTAGGGCAGATTTTCACGGTTAACTGATCGAAAATTTCGAAAGTATGAATTATTTTCGGTGTCTTCCTAGAACTACAAAATTAAAACTTTTCCCTTCAGTAAATTTGTTCTCCACAGTGAATGCTTTAATTAAGGGCATGTACATGTTTTTGAAAATTTTATGAGTTTTCGCGCAATATTGCGAGCTATATGTGCAAATTTAAAACATTACAAGAAAGAGGTTTTTTTTTCATTTAACCTTTGATAGTGATACTGCTAAATGTACTCTATGAGATGGTATTAACATCAGTTTGCTCGTTTTGTTTTTTCAAAAATTACAAAAATTTAGCTTTTTTTACCTTTGCTCTTACGTCACACTAGTGGCTATTTGTTCACATTATTGTATTTATTAGTACACTTCCTTTAATAATGTCCTATAAAGTTTCTCGAAAACTCAACCTTTTCTGTGAAAACTAGCTCAAAATTCCGCATTCTCAGAAACGCTCAAACGTCATTTTCTCAAAAAACTACTCAAAATTTTCAAAACTATAGTGCTATTTGCACTCTTTTGTATGACGTCAAGTTCATTTCAAAGTATTTTTTTTTTTGTTTTTTTAAAAAATTACACAAATGGAATTAATTTGAAAGATCTCTCATCTCGTTAATATGTACATATCCATCAATTTGTAAACACTATTGTTAGTTAAAATGATTAAAATTACTTCGAATAAAGTTTTCGAAAACTCAAAACTTTTCTGTGAAAAAGTGCTTCAAATTTAAAATTTATAGTCGGGTTTAAGCGCCATTTTCTTGAAAACGGAACGAAATTTTTCAAAAGAAATTGCCATTTATGACGACGTTTTACAGTTCTTTAATATTCTTAAAATAATATTTCCGTTCTACTATTAGGAAAACACAAACATAAAATTTCAAAAATATATATTTTGGAATTTAATAGATCGCATTTGTCAGGAGTAGTTGGTAGTGGTAAGTTAGTATTGCTAGCCGAGACCAAAGAAAATAGAAATGTCAGTGCCATTGTGTAGCACTAGTTCCAAAATGTTCTTGACAACTCATCCTCATGGGGAAGTGAAATTAGCTCTTGCCCTAGGGAACTTGCATTTCCTTAGTGAATTTCAAACATTATGCTTTCTACAAGTATTCTCGAAGATTTACGCCTACACCTCGCTGTGACGAAAAAGTGAAAGAAACAGAACAGCAAATTGAAAATGAGAGATCCAAATTTGATGAATTATGGTTTGTCACTATTCAACTGAATGACAGCTCTGAAAATGAACCGCGCAAAAGGAGCCCTGAAGATAATGTAATGAAATACATAAGACTTTCTTTACAAATAATAGACAATGTAACAATTCAAATGAAGAATAGGTTAGGAAATCTCCCGCATTTGGAATTCATTTTGTTACTAGATACAGCTAAATGTCATACAAATCGACGTCTCCTTCCGCTTTGAAGGCTCTTAAAGCAAAACATGAAAATTAGTTTGACTTATTACGACTAAAAAATGAATTGACAAAACTATACTCAATGCAAGAATTTTGTGGAAACATTTCCCCACGATTTAATGAAACATCTGAAGACAAATCGACTTATTTAGCATTTGCAGAATTGTACAAGTTTGCCTTCCAAGTTTTAACTTTACCCAGTACATCAGCATCGGTTGAAAGGTCGTTTTCTGCCCTCAAACGCAATAAATCTTTCGAAAGATCAACAAGAACAAGAGGGATTAAGTTGGCACTCTGGTCAACTGAGAAAAAAAAACTTAAAGAAATACCAAGTTCTGCCACATTTTATGATATCACTAAATAATTTGCCAAACAAGAGAGGAGAATGGAGTTTATTTTCAAATAAATCAGGTTACTTATTTCCTTTCAACATCATTTATCCAGTAGATCTGACATAACTAATATTTATTGTTCCTAATGCTTTATTGCAAAAGTTGTTATAGCAGTGAATGTACATCTTCATTGCCTTTACATTTCAGTTACTATTTTATTGCGGCTCAATTGCAAGTGGTACACAGGAAATCATAATACCATAGTACCAACTTTGTTCTTGGTTTGTTTTATCTGTGATACTTTTCGTTGTCTCCCGACAGTACAGGCTTAACTTGGTGAGAAGAGGGAGCATTTGTCTCCAATTGTTTCAGGTTTTATTGAATTTTTACAATAATGTAAAATGTTAAAAAGTTGTATATTAATATAAATTAGTAAACAAGATTTAAAATGTTTGTATTACTATAAATAAGTGGAATAGTGTAATGAATAATTTGAAAGAGTTCCCCTAGTCATACTGTGAGATATCTCAGAAGTTCTTATAATTTGATTTTTTAATGTTACCCTTTACGTAAATCAACTATTGACCATGTGATCCAATCGGCAACTTAAACGTCACCACAGTGACGTTTCCTGTTGTGACGTTAAAGCCCCCTATTGGATTACACCATAATAGCTGATTTACATCAAGTGCCACGTCAAATTAATCAAAGCATTCACACATCAGACGTTATGTTGTGGGAGGAAGGGCACTGTCGTTGCGGTGGCCGCTTCCTCAAATAGGTTTCGATGATAGTTGGCAATTCAGCACCAATGACAGTGTTTCTGTACAGCAATCATCACGTCCTGACATAACTTATTTTCAATGTGTTTATCGTTCCAATGCCAATGACTGTTCGTGACTGGAAGTTCTTAGAAAATTGTGGGCACATATGCTGCGGACTCGCATTCTTTCAAAATAAGCAAAAATAATAATATTGATGTCATTTTTTATATGATATAATTAAATATTTATGTACAGTAACAATAGATTTTTGTTTTGTCTCCCCAAACACAAGTCATACCCTTTCTATTGATAGAGCTTACCCACACGAATCGGTCACCTTTGACAATAATAATCCGAAAAGTAGTTGTACTTTATGATTTTCATTTTGAAATGAAATGGCATGTGTTAATGTATATTTGTTTTGACAGTAATAATTTTTCCTAAATAATTTCAATGAAAAAATTTACATTTTACTATTCCTTCCAATTTGTTTTAATTTAAAGTCTGACAATTTTATTGGAGTTTCTCTTCTAAAAGACGACTTCCTGAGTCTGGCAGTAATCCTGAAACTACAAGAAATCTTGGTCTTGTACCAGAACTGATAGAAATTATCACAAAATTTCAAAATTTGCCATTCTTATTCATTAGTTTGCCAATCAGTGCATTAAATGAACAGTTGTATTAGTCATTAACTCAACAAATACCAGACTGAATATAATAATTGTTTAACACGAAGTATTTTGGACGAGTGAATACAAGAATACTAAATTTGCAAAAGTCACATTTCTAGAATCAGTGACTGCATTTCCCAGTCATCACCTATGTACTATTGCTGTGACTTATAGTTCTTTGCTCCATTTTTCAATGAACTATTTTTAGTTTTAATGACTGTGTTGGTTAAATGGGAACTTTGATAATAATCACAATAATCTGTCAACGCATGGGGTCAAAAGCCATTTTTGCATATACTTTAGTGATCACTTGTTTATAGTTTTTGTTACTTATTTAATAAAAATAATTCCTCAAACCTAATTCACAGAATATTCTTTATTTCATATCCAGTATATTATATTGTAACGAATATTTCATCACCTGCCGGATTCGCTGCGCGTGGATTGCGTCATCTGCCGGCGCCCCCTCCCCGAACCGGACGGTTCCGGACATTTCGCGAGTCGCGGGGAAACGCGGATAATGTACCGGGTGTATCGAGACGAGCGCCGGCCAGGTATAATGCGCCACTGCCGGCGGCCGCGAGTCAGTGAGTAGCAGAGAAGTCATTAGGAAGTTTTAAGTTAGTGTGTCAGAGTAAGTCGGTGTATGTAATCAGTGAATAAGCAGTCAGTCCGTCAGTGTGTCCAAAGTGGAAACTGTGCTGTAAAGTGTGCATCGCGGTGAACAGAGGTGCAGTGAGTGAACAGCAGTCTGAAGTATGCAGTGGAAGCTGAGCTTTGAAGGGTGCATCGTGGTAAACAGTGGTGCAGTGGGGAAACAGCAGTCAGCAGTTTGAAGTCTGCAGTTGAAGCAGAGCTGTGAAGTGTGCATCGCGATAAACAGCAGTGCAGTGGACCCTGGTGTGCGCAGTGAAGTGTGGTCTGCGCAAGGAAATTGTGGTCAGCGCAGTGGACCGTGCTTCAGACTGCGATAGTGTAGAAGTGAACTGTGTAAATAAATAATCAAGAGAACGGAGTCGTATGTAAAGAAAAATAATTAAATGTAATATATCTGTAAATAGACCAAGTAGTTTTTAGAGTCAGTAGATTTTAGGGTATAATTTGGTTACGAATAAACGTTTTTGTTTAAATAATACCAGTGAGTTTTAATTCACCATGAGAAACGTTACAATACGTTTCACTTAATTGAAATAAAGTACTGTACAAATAATTTAAATAATTGTTCAATACACTAAAATAGTGCTACATATATCAGATTCCAATACTTGTGGCACTTTTTCACACAACCACTAATTAACAATGAATACACTGTGAACAAACAATACTGTTTCAAATAATACATTAATTAAGTTCAAGAAACAAATACTGTGAGTAGGGCATTTTTAAAAAAAAAAATTCAAGACAAAATTGCTTATCAGAATCAATTTAGTTTGAAAAGTCAATATTATTTGTATCTTGTACACAAACTCATACAACCAATGTTCCAGTTTAATGTGTCTTACAAAACTATTTAACAACGCTACCTACTTATAGGTAGTAACTAAGGAAAGCTTCTTGTCAAAATGGAAAATATCACACTTTGTTTCCATTAATTTTTATAGTACAAGATAATTATTTCAACAAAACATTGTATTAAACCTTCATAACATAATTACAACATTCATTTTAGAATTTGGCATATGACTCTTTCAAAAATCACTAACACACAAACCAAATCAACATTGAGCTACACTAATGACAATAACTGCTCAGCAACATTGTTGTTTGTTTTTTTCTCTTCAAAGGAAATTAGTTTAAAAAAAGAAAATTAAGGATTTGTACAATCTAAAAATTTGGTTACAGTTTCAAGTAAAACCTATTTAATTAAAGTAACTTTATCTTCCACCTTTTAATTCAGAATTATCTCTGGCCGCAGCCATGGTCACTGGGCAACAGGTAATGCAGAAGTCACAATCACTCCTGCAGAACTATCATGTGGAGTGGAGGGATCCAATGAAGGTTCATTAGTTACTAATGTCACATTCCCTGTCGAAGATGCAATATCAAATGTTGATCTTGGAGTGGATGGAGGAGCAGAAGACGCTGCGAGAGCAGCAGAAGATAGAAGCAGGGCCACTTGTTCAGGTGCAGGACACGCAGCCAAAAGTAAGTCTTCAGAACTGTATCCACCAGTTGAAAGCAATTGTTGTAATTGGGCAAAAGCTCCCACCACACTATTCTGTAATATTACAAAACATAGAATTACTTGCATAACTTGCATTCCATGGATTAATAGTTATGAATTACAATATGTAATATTTAATTAATATTATTGAAAATTTTGTAGTGAAAAAGAGCTTCAAATTTCGCTTTTACAGTAAGGTTAAAAAACATTTTCTTAAAAACGGCTCCAAATTTTCACAAAAATGTCCATAAAGAACTATGTTTTACTTTTCTACAATATTCTTAAAGTAATATACCATTTCTACCATTAAAAAACTGAAAAATCGAACAAATGTGAAAAAATGGCGATAGATGGTAGCTGCCACAGAGTTTCCAACCGACAAACAGTTCTCGAAGTTTTCCCAAGTTTCCCAAGACCGAAAAGCTAGCTCAGACTGAAGGAATAAGAAAACTCACTAGTACAAGAAAGTTAGAGCCATTCTGTGGCACCAGTAGTTTTCTTTTCACTTTAGAACAATGCCTTTTAGTATAGACATTAATTTCATGCTAAGAGAAAAGGAAATGACCCATTTTTATGACATTTTTCGGCAATTTTGACTTTAATTTTTAACACTTTTTGTCATTTTTAAAGCATTTTTGGCTGATTTCATCCATTTTAATATTATTTTTCAGGTGCTTGCTTCAAACAATATTTACGAGATGAAGAAAATGTTCTCCACAGAATTCTGTCGCACTGTGAGGACTATTCCATTTCTTCACTCTGATATTGTAATGTCAGCCGTTGTATGTAAAATATCAGGTTTCTAGGCGGCCTATCAGTAATATTATTGGTTTGGCTGAATTCGCGATAACTAAGGACTGTGATTTCCTGGTACAATCAATCCAAAGTTTGCAAGTTGAGATCACTTTAACAAAAGAAAGCTTCCAATTCATCATATACCCAAAAGCTTGAGTTGGTCATCTGAACTTGTTTTGATAAAATTTTTTAACATATTTTCTCTTTGTATTTAGGACATTTTAAAGACATTTTATTGATCATTTCTGGAGATGTTTTAGGTCATCAATTCCGCCCCCAAATAATCATCACAAAAAATATAATAATGGCTTTTATAATATACTATAAAAATATTATCACTCACTTTAATAGGCCGAAAAAGTACAAACTCTGTTTCCCGATTAGCCAGATAAAGCTGCATGCTTCTCTGCAGCACTGGGAGTTGCGCCTTAATGAGTCTTTGAGTCTCCTGCACTGTCTGACACACAAGAGACGCACTAGCAAAGGGCTGGTTAGAGAGCAAAGCTCCTCCTTGCACTTCTGAAACCATTTTTGTGTACACCTGAGCCTGCATACGAGAAACATTTGTTTTTATTTTTAGCAAAAATAAAAATATTATATAACAATTTATAACCAATATTATTATAACAACAAAACAAAATATATTATTATAACGAAAAAATAAGAAACACTGAGGGTGAAAGATATTTTCTCCTGACAATCACAAACTCAATAATGGGAAAAAGTCCATGACTATTGTCTCCTAAAAAAGGATCTTTTATAACAGGGTTTTGATGTAGACAAGTCCATTTATAAATTTAATTAACACAATATGAACAATAACATTAACAATTTTAAAATAAAAACTTCAGAAATTTTGACATTTTTCACTAATTTTAAATCAACATACCTTATCCAGGAAGGAGAGCAAAGGTTGTGCTAGAATATTCGTTGAATGCTTTATGAAGGTTTCACAAGCTTGCTTTAAAGTTCTATCTACTTCCTTCCGGGAATCAAGTAATTGTTCTCTCACAGCTGGAGTACCAGCCAAGAGAAATTCCAGAAGAGCATTATCAGGTCCCAGTGACAAAAGACGGTTGCGACGTTGAAGGAGACCAAAGGCTATAACATGTAAACCAAAATTCAGTGGGTCTTCTCAATAGCAATATCAACTAGTGGTTCTATAACACACATACTTTCTCGCCTTTAGTAATAGTTATGAAATACTTTTTATACCACAATTTCTCTCTAAATTAACACGTTTGTCTCTCTCTCTCTCTTTTTGGTAGAACTCATTACAAATCATAGAACATTTGGTGAAAAAACTAAATACTTTCAAGCAAATATCACCACAAAAATGACAATTATAACTGCTTTACATACAGGTAAATCATGCCCCAACAATAAGTCATAATTCACTGAAATTAGCCCCGGAGTCATTGTTGCTGGGCCATTGCTACATTCCAATCCGATATTCCCTGAAGGCTAGTAATTTTTATTTCATATATTTCAAATAGGTTTTAAGAATTTGTATAAGATTAATTTGCAAATGTATAAAATAGCTCGAATATAAGAAACGAACACAGAAATATGAAATAATCTACAAATTCTAACTTACGAACCTTCCAACAGCCTGGAATTATGGCAACTATCTTTGTTGCCAAATTACACAAAAAATACTCATTTTCAAAAAATTCAACATGATCTTATTTGAAGATGTGTGTGTTTTAAATGGCTCCAATATTTTTGATTAAATTTTGTTGTTGAATTGCTTAATAGACAATTAACAGAAATGTGTAGGTCTCTTGTTTGTTAAAAATTCTTATTTTTCAAACATTGCAAAAATTCAATTTTTTTCTTGAGTCTTCCTACAAGTAAAATATTAAAGACAGATTTTTCCCTTCCTTAATGAAATCTGTTCCTCCATGACAGATTTTAAGACAAGGCCATGCACAATCTTTTTAAAATTTGAGTAAAATTTCGTGAAATATAGGCCATTTTAAATATTTTTTCTAAAAAATGGCAACAATTCTGATTAAATTTGGAACTTGGATATTGGATAGGGCGCACAAGAGAATCGTGCGAGTCTCAAGTTCATTGAAAAGTCTTCTTTTTGCAAACTGCTAAAATTCAAAATTTGTTTCAGTGTCTTCCTGCAACTACAATTATGAAGATAAACATTTTTTACTTAATTGTGTTAATCAAAAACCAGATCTTCAAATAATGCCATGTTCAATTTTTCGAAAATATGAGTTTTACCGCAAAATTTTGCGTCAACTAAAGGCAATTTTTATTTTCTTTAAACATTTTTATCTTAAAAACAGGTTATTTTAAAAAAATTAAATTTGGACCTTATACTTCGGTTTTTGTGGGTGGCGTGTCAGGGCCTGACTCCACGATGGAATATCTCATGGCATTTCGCGTCTTTCTGGGCCGTGCTGCTAGATGTCACATGACCGTATCAAGCGACCGTATCAAGCAGTGCTGTGTGTCTAGCGGTACAACCAAGAAAGACTCGAAATGCCGTCAGATGTTCCATCTTGAAGACAGGCCCTAACACGCCACGTTATAAAAACCGAAGTATAGATAGCGCAGAGAACACATGAGAAAATTGTACAGGTTTCATGTTCGTTAAAATTACTGAATTTTCGAAAATCGCTAAAATTTAATTTTTTAGGCGTCTTTCAACTACAATTGTGAAGATATTTTTCTTAACCAGTTTTTTGCCCGGTGTTCGAGAAGTGGAACAAACTTAGTTCTGTTATTTGTTGACCTTGATCTCCCATTTCATTGTTTCCATACACGTGGTAACTTGTTCAGACAAAATGTCCTGACAATAGAACTTGAAGTTGATGCCCGTGAGTGTTATTATTTTTCTTGCGATGTTACGAAGTAGATGCTAAGTCTTGCATTCAAATTTCTATATTCACCATGGGAGAAAAAAGTAAGTGTCGCTATTTATTACAGGACAAGCGGCACCTGGCAGACGTTCTACCCTTCATCTCTCTCCCCCTCCCCCAGCAAAAATGCTAGAATGTTAAAAAAATTTCATCCTTTAGATTACGGAGTGAGAAACGTTTCCTTAGGCCTTTGGCATTAATGTTTTGAATGTCCATGAACGCTTCATGTAGGAGGGTTTTTTTTCCTTTCCAATTTGTTCCTTCTATATTGGAACGCGTCTCCAAACTCCGTAAGGAACGTTGAGCGCTGGAGCAATCCGGTAATAAGCGCCGACTAGGGGCCGCTGTATTGTCAAGCCAGGGAATCGCCGACAGGTAAGCGTTTTCGCGCTCGCGTCTTTATATATATATAAAGGCGGCTAGGATTGGGAAGGAATAAGGGTAGGGGTTAGGTAAAGGACGCTTCTGGCTCATACATAGGGATCATTTCGTGTTGCGCGTGGTGTTTGGGTAGGGGTGGGGAGGAGTGGAGCGAGCAGAGACATGAGCAAACAAAACGTCTGTTTAGGCGATTCTGTCTAGTGCTTCGGAAACAAAACTGTAATACTGAAGATGTGGGGAGAGATTATGACCGATTTATTAACAACAATGTAACAGTAATTATTATTTAATGATAGGCAGCTCAGAGAGAAATCCAAAAGATATCTTGTGGAACATTATCGCCAAGTTCATTATTTATAACAGTAATAATGTAATATTATTATTACGGACTCCAAATATTAAGCAAATTAGAAAATCTTAACAAAATTATTACAAATACCAATAAAACATATATAAGTAGTAAATTATTTCAAGGCATGGGGTGCAAGTTATATATATTTATATACTTTAAATTATAATTTTCCCTAAAAATGGAATGTTAAATATGTAAGATTGAAGCGCATATTGATGATTATATTTCCATATATTTGAGAAACTTTAGTTAAATTATGAATGTTCTATTTGTGGAACACACAGACTGAACGGTACCATCCTTTAACTTTTAGTCGTTCATTTCTTTAAAAGCCTGACTCTGAAATTCTAAAACTTCTTGAATATCATGTTGATTTTTGAAAGATTTTCGAAATTCTCGAATTTTTATTACACCTAAAGATGGTGCTGAAAGTGAAGAAGACAGAACAGCAATGAAGAGATCAAAACGTTAACTGGTAGAAGGAGAAGCTGTGATTTTTGTTTCAACAAAGTTGAAAGATTTGGAGACAATGATGTGGGGAAAATTGTAGTTATAGATCAGGTCAATGAAGAAATATCTTCCAGAAAGCAAACCAATTGAAATTTACAGGGACATTTGTTCTTATCCATCTTTAAGTTGCAAGTTAGCAGGACTGGGATATAAGTTCACAAGGACTATAACCAAGAATCGTATCATAAAGTGGCCACTGAAGGACTCAAAAATTCTGGAAAAGGAAGAAAGGAATGATTTTGATTATAAAACAGATGTTAGCAATATCACAACGATCCTTGGATGGAATGATAATCATGTTTGCCATAAGATTTACTGTATGTTATCCTGTTGAGCCAATTGGAATTTCCAATAGATGGATGAGCCAGTAAAAGAAGACCAGCAAATCACTATTATCATGCAATACGAGAGCGAGATTAGATAAAAACGGACATTGGATTGTACCTGCGACCAAACAACGGAAGAGTGTGTCATGTAAACAAAATACCAAGAAATCATGTAAGAAATGCAAAATAAATTGACATGAATGTTAAAAAAATTATCACACATATTCATAATGAAAACATTTCTCTTACACCTGAGGATTCTGAAACTCGAATTTATCACTATATTTATTTATTATTTGAAACTGTGTAGATGTTCTCGTAATATTTACATGATTTACTTGTCATATCTATGCATTAAAATTAAAGACAATGTTATGTAGAACAAATTGTTTATTATTTATAAAAATTGCAAAAATTACCTCCCAAACTACTAGTACGATTCATTCCCAGAGTTCCCCTTATGGAACAGGGAATGGGGTATCTGGTGTCCTGTAATAAGAATTTCATTTAAATTATGTTTTTACTTAAAAATTAATTGTCTCAAAACTATTTGATGTATTTTTTTTAAATGAAACGTATTCACCAAAAACATCTCCAAAAAAAGTTTTTTTTATTAATTTGGCATCAAACATAAGTTATTAATAGTATGTCAATCTTTTACTTCATTATATGTTTGTTTTAAGTATTTCTTGTATTTATTTTAGTAATACACGAGTTATATTAAAAGACATATCAATTGTATACATCCATGCCATCACCCAAATTGTTACCCCCAAGAAAGAATTATTTGTCTCCTCGAAGATTCCACAGCAAATATTTGTGTGTCTCTGGTCTATAGGATTTTTCGTGTTCACAAGAAAATAGGAGTCCAAAGGTAAGTTGGGTCACAATAAGGACAGCCCAAAATTACAGATACTTGTAATGAACAACCATACCTGCTGTTTTAACCTTACTGAAGTCCAAACTCATTTCTTTCACCGTAAAATCCACCTGAAATGGGGCAATCTGTTCACGCAAGATCAAGAGATGTTTAACTTGAAACAGCAGACCATCAACAGCTCCCTAAAGAAAATAAAAATATAAGATGTAAAATCATTAATTACAGAAGTATATAACAGATGTCAAAGAATAAAAAACCACACATATAAAACAAATAGAAAGTTTCAGAATAAATATTATAAATTTCTAGAATGTTGGAGAGGTGAGGATACTCATTTTTGACAAATAAACATTAGAGGGAAATATCATTTAACAGAGTTATACACGTAAGACAAACTGCGCTAGGATCACATTTCGTATTTTGATTATTTCTTCAATAATTATTGGGATACAAATGAGAATCATAAACATATTAATGAATAAACATTAATTTAATTAATCTCTGTTGGAAGACAGAAGATGAGAAGACTGAAACTAAGAACAGGTGTAAGAGAATCAGAAGTGGGATTTTGCACAAGATGGGCATGGTGGAGATTGGACGTGTAATGAGTTATCCGAGGTGAATATTAGAATATTATTGGGGCTTTGAACATTAACATCCCTCAAATAGTTTTTTAAAGAGTCGAATTATTTAACTTAGCGTATGGTGAATTAAATAGTATAATATTAGCCTGAGGAAATGTGTGGGAAGGGCATGGCAAAAATTCTAAAGTATATGTTTTTCTAGCAACACTAGTTTTAGATAGTCCAGCTACATGCTCATAAAGAACTGTAACATGGAGCAGCAGGAATAACCCAACCACTCGGCGTTGAGGATTAGTGGGCAAAATTATTCCAATTCTGAACAAAACCTGCGACACACGAAGGTCACTCCAAAACTTTTGAGAATGAGCAACAATGAAACTATTTCCGGTTTACTATTGTAGGCGGAACTTTTAGTAAGAAACTCGCGCAAGTTTGAACACGCTCTGGTAATTTATTAACTTAGAAAGGCTATTTGTGTTCTATTAGTTGTTGTTCCTCTGACAATAACGATGGACCTAAAGAGAGCATTTCAGAGCTATGATTTTGTATGACTTTAAGGTTGGCTTAGATAAATCATGCCTCGAGAGATTACAGCATGCGTTCGGCAATGGTTGCCCTTCACAAGCCACTGACTATCGATGGTTTGCCAAATTCAAGAGGGGAAGGGACTCTCTGGAAGATGAAGACCGTTCTGGCAGGCCCAATGCAGCAACAATGGATGAAAATGTGCTGAAAGCGGAACATTTGCTAAGGGAAGACCCTCGTTGTACATATGCTCAGATTCAGGAAGCTTTAAATATTGAATCAGCAGTAGTGAGACAGATCCTGAAAGAAAAGCTTCACGTTGGGAAGCTGTGCTGTTGCTGCATCCCTCACAATCTATCAAATGAACAAAAAAGTGCGCAAGTGGATTGGTGTCGTGAGACCCTGGATAAGTTCAATGGAGGAAGATCAAAAAACATTTTTAACATAGTGCGGGTGATGAAAGCTGGATTTATCCTTTTGATCCAGAAATGAAATGGCAGTCATCAGTGTGGGTCTTCTCAGATGAAAATCCTCCAACGAAAGTGAGAAAACCCAGAAGCGATGGCAAAATGATTATTTGTTCTTTCTTCTCTGCCAGTGGCCATATTGTGATAGTGCCACTCGAGGAACAAAAGACAGTCACTGCAAGATGGTACACTACAATTTGCTTGCCCAGATTGTTTGAAGAGCTGAGAAAGAACCGTCCAAAAGCAGGTTTGCATGGAATCCTGCTCCACCATGACAACGCCTCATCCCACACAGCCGGAGCAACAACTAAGTTTCTGACAGAATCAAGGGTTAAAACATTGTCTCATCCACCTTACAGTCCAGACCTGGGCCCGTGTGACTTTTTTCTTTTCCCTTATGTGAAAGAAAACTTCGAGGTCTTCGTTTCGAGTCAGCTCAGGCTGCAGTGACTGCATATGAAGATCAGATTCGCAGTATCTCTAAAGAAGTGTGGCGATCGTAATTTGATAATTGATTAATCGGATGAAACGTTGCTTAGAGTGTGGTGGAGAGTACTTCGAGAAGATGTGAAGGTAAGAACTTGTTATCTCGATTTTAAATATAGTATTCTCAAAACTTTTGGAGTGACCCTCGTATCGCCCAGCGAACGCCAGGCGCACGGCAAGACAGAAGACATAGCAGAACTGGGGAGTAGCTTGCTTCAATCTCCCGTGTTGAGTCCAGAGAACGAGGTTGAGACCTAAAGCAGCTACCTGCTTAACTAGACTAAGAAGACACTGAGTAGGGCGATAGACCAGTGCTGCAAGGCCATTTGGCTAAGCAGACATCCATGAGGACAGGCGATCGCAGAGGCGGCTCGTGGGTACTCGCACGTCCGCATGTGGACAACCAAATTAAATCGCTCCAATTTCTCTTTAACATCTCTTAGCAAGAGGAGAATACAAGACCTCACTGAGAGTTTCCGAAACATCGTATTTCAAAGTACGCAGAGTTAAGAAGCTGTGATTGATAGTCTGTAGCCAATGCTACTCGTGAAAGCCAGTCCAAGCGTACACGTCGTGGGCTGTAACGGGTTTGGCAGGGCAAGAGGGAGAACAATGGTGGTTTATGGACGGATGGAGCACACCGTTCACGGCGAGACGCAGTGACGATCTCGTCGAGTGCTCTGTCACTACGACACACCTATTCATCCGATTTGGTCGAAATTTCATTTACAGAAAAAATATCTCTTCAATTTTTTAGTTGTAGGACAACGCTGGACGAAAAATAAGCTTTTACAATTATCGAAAATTCAGAGTTAACAGTAAAAAAAAGGGTCCTGTGCGATCTTCATAAGTATTTTACTTTATTCCTTAATGTAAAAAAAAAAAAGAAAAGAAAAGAATTGGAGCAATTTTTAAAAAAAACTTTGAAAATGTCCCTGGGGCTTCGTGTCAAGTTTTTTTAAGCCAAATTTTTAAAGAAAGTTTTTCAAAGTCGCTGCGCATCGAGTCACGCCAGTTTGACAGAGGAATATCCATTTTGGAAAAAGTCCTACGCATGGTGTTCACAGGCGGACAGACAAGTCGTTCACACGGACAAACGCAGACTAACGAACAAACGTTTTGAAAAAAAGAAAACACTTTATCGGTTTCAGAATCGTTTAAACCTAGACATTGATTTTCCTCAGCATTACATAACTGTCTCTATACTACGTATATTACTTCATTTATTCGTACCGATGAGCCATTCTCCCTCAAATCGCACAAGAGTTCACACTGTTCTGTTCGAAAATCTGGACATAAAAACCTGTTTTTTTGGCCTAGTCACTTTTTTTAATTTTTTTTTTTTTATTTGCTCAAAAATTGATTTGTGTAGTTATGTCTGTATTACATTTTGGAATTTATGCATACTTCACAAAATATGCAGCAAAAATAGAATAGAATAATGAAGTAGATCTCATTCTGCAAATTAGGGTGTTCGAGGCTTTTGGTTCCCAAAGTTTAGTTTTTAATGCCCTAGAACGCTTCGTTTAGAAGTTATTTATCGATGTAGAATCACAAATCTTCTGAATTCTGATATTTTAATAGTTATTCTGCAGATCAAGAAATAACTAAAATTAGTCCAGCCGTTCTTGATTTTATAAATGGTGCAACAAACCCAACTGTTTTATTTATTTAGATTTGAAATTCTATTCCTCTGTAAATATTGTTTTTCAAAATATAATGATTTCATTGAAAAATTTTATATCAACATTTCTATATAAACTCAACAAAATTAAAATTTGAAAAATAGGCGTATTTCTTGTTCAATTTCTATAAAATACAAGAAAAAATGGGCACTCCACATTTACAGTTCTAAAAAAACAATTGTAAGTATGGAGGGGCGCTCTGCCTACCCATGCTCTAACGAATTGCGTTCGGTCAGTCTTTGATCCAATAGCTGAAGAAGAGTAAAATGAAAAACCGTCTGCTTGATTAGGGTTTCAGGACTTACTAGTATTTAAGATGTTCACTCTTTACAAAAGGGTAACTTTCTTAATTTTATTTCATTTGCAATTTATTTGTTGTAGCATTTACTTATTATTTCAAATATGAAATAGATTGTAAATATTCGTTGAATAAAAAAGATACATTCACACTACTTCCAGAATAAATGGGCGAAAGCAAAACGAATTGAAACTTAAGCCATTCCACCTCAAATAGCACAAGAATTAATACTTTTTTATACATAATTTTTTTAATAATTCTGGAGACCAAAAATGACACTTGTTTTTTTATTTACCTAAAATTGATTTTTTTATGTAGTTATCCCTATATTACAGTTTGGAATTTAGGCATACTACTCAAAATATGATTGATGTATTCAACACTCTTAACATAAAAATTGCCCATTTGTTTCATTTCATATTACATTTGCATTCTGTAAATTACTTTGAATCTGTAAATTACAAAGATTTCATTTAAAAAAGAGTAATATTTTAAATTTAAAATTTCTATACGAAATCGCTTAGAACGAGATTTAAAAAAAGTATTGGAGCAATTCTTATTCAATTTTCTACAAGACATAACAGAAAAAAGTGGGCACTGAACACATACAGATCGAAAAACATCTATTGTAAGTATGCGGCCGCGGGCGGGCGGGCGGACGGACGGGCAGACGGACGGGCGGACGGACGGGCGGACGGACGGGCAGACGGGCGGGCAGACAGACGGGCGGACGGACGGGCAGACAGACGGGCGGACGGACGGGCAGACAGACGGGCGACGGACGGGCAGACAGACGGGCGGAGCAGAACGCGGCAGACAGACGGGCGGACGGACGGGCAGACAGACGGGCGGACGGACGGGCAGACAGACGGCCGGGACGGACGGGGCAGACAGACCGGGCGGGACGGACGGGCAAGACAGACCGGGCGGCGGGACCGGGCAGACGGACGGACGGGGCCAGAGACGGGACGGGGGCAGACGGACGGACGGGCAGACGGGCGGACGGGCAGACGGACGGGCAGACGGGCGGGCAGACGGGCGGGCAAGACGGGCGGGCGGACGGGCGGCGGACGGCGGGCGGACAGACGCGGCGGACAGACGGCGGACAGACGGGCGGACAGACGGGCGGGCAGACGGGCGGACAGACGGGCGGACAGACAGACGGGCAGACAGACGGGCAGACAGACAGACGGGCAGACAGACGGGCGGGCGGACGGACGGGCGGACGGACGGGGACGGACGGGCGGACGGAGGGCGGACGGACGGGCGGGGCGGGCGGGGACGGACGGGCGGACGGGCGGGCGGGCGGACGGGCGGGCGGACGGGCGGGCGGACGGGCGGGCGGGCGGACGGGCGGACGGACGGGCGGGCGGCGGACGGGCGGACGGACGGAGCGGGACGGGAACGGGCTGACGGACGGCTGACGGCCTATACAGACGGGCTGACGGACTTACAGACGGGCTGACGGATTACAGACGGGCTGACGACTTACAACGGGCTGACGGACTTACAGACGGGCTGACGGACTTACAGACGGGCTGACGGACTTACAGACGGGCTGACGACTTACAGACGGGCTGACGGACTTACAAGACGGGCGGACGGACTTACAGACGGGCGGACGGACTTACAGACGGGCGGACGACTTACAGACGGGCGGACGGACTTACAGACGGGCGGACGGACTTACAGACGGGCGACGGACTTACAGACGGTCGACGGACTACGACGGCGGACGGACTTACAGACGGGCGGACGGACTTACAGACGGGCGGACGGACTTACAGACGGGGCGGAACGGACTTACAGCGGGCGGACGGACTTACAGACGGCGGACGGACTTAAGGACGGCGGACGGACTTACAGGGCGACGGGACTTACAGACGGCGGACGACTTACAGACGGGCGGACGGACTTACAGACGGGCGACGGACTTACAGACGGCGGACGGACTTACAGACGACGACGGACTTACAGACCGGACGACTTACAGACGGACGGACGGACTTACAGACGGACGGACGGACTTACAGACGGACGGACGGACTTACAGACGGACGGCGGACTTACGAGACGGACGGACGGACTTACAGCGACGCGGACGGACGACAACCCGGACCGGACTTACAGACGGACGGACGGACGGACTTACAGACGACCGCGACGGACTTACAGACGGACGGACTACAGACGGACGGACTTACAGACGGACGGACTTACAGACGAGAAGACGGACCGGCAGACGGACCGAAAGACGGACGGGCAGACGGACCGAAAGACGGACGGGCAGACGGACCGAAAGACGAACGGGAGACGGACGCAGACGGACGAAAGGACGGAATGGGAGATGGACCGAAAGACGGATGGGCCAACGGACAAAATTGACCCTGACCTTTCAATATCTATCGTTAAGAAACATAATTAAGAATAAAAAATGTATCCTTGCTATTATATTTGTATGAAGAGGCGGACCATTTTTTTTATTTTTGCAATCTTCGAAAAATCAGGAATTTTTAAACAAAAAATGAGACTTGCACCATTCTCTTAAGGCAGGTTCATCCCACAGATATTTCCTTGGATTGTGTAAGCACATAGTCGCGCAAGTATCTCCCTAAACATATCTTGACGAATGACACATTAATAAGAAATTTGAAAAATGCAAATCAAACCAACAATACATAAGACTTTTTCAATAACAAATTACTTCAAAACTACATTATGTCCTTATCTTTGTCTTTATTAATGGCAAGGCTCATTTGGTCTGTTCTTCCGGCTGACCACTTTCAGAACTTCTAATTTAATAGTAGATAATGAAAGGCAGGTGTTCCAAAGAAAATACATATGCAATTAAGGTAAAGGGTTTCTCACATAGAAAATGAGTGAAAGCCTGAGAGTTGTTAGAAAAGGAATACTCTCACAACATTGTGTGAATAAATTTATTACTTTCAAGTTAGAGATGTATTTAAATGAATCACAAATATATCAAGTTGGACACTACCAGATTTCATTCAAATGGGAAATTATAATTTTGTGACTCAGCAGGTTAAGCATACAAGAGGTTTTGAAATACATTGTTTAAATCAGTGAACTGTTAATAAGTACAACTAATTGTTTCAAAGAGGTTTTGAAGAAGCTTACAACAAGGAAAAACACACCAAGTTAAGATTTCAAGCTTTGAGAGAACATTATCTAAGATTTCTAATCTTTATCTATACTTTAATTTAAATATTGTTCTCAAAAGATTGGATAGTTACATTTACATTGTACAATCTTCTTCAAGTGTTCCTAGCTCTTTTAAGCTTATGTTATTCTCTTAAAACAACTTGAAATTATTTTTTATTTTATTACAAATTTATTTAGTTAACAATTTCATTAAAGAAAATGTATTATTTAGTTTTACACCTTTGTAGAAGGATTTATTGTTGTGAAATATTAAATTCAATAAATCAACATTCTACAACATATTTATATGACAATAAAGTTTCTAAAACTATTATAGCAGTTCTAGAGCATACTTTGCGTGATGTAATGGCTGTTGCTGCAAAGGCAACACTCTGGATGCACATACTCAGAGCCTCTTGGCTAAGTCCTTGGAAAATGGGTCTGTCCACACAACGGTACAATCTGGATAAACACACCAGTGTGCGTCGCACAGTTGGATACCACATGCCATGCAAATCAGCAGGTGAATCTAAGAAAGATGTAATTTTAATTACAAAAAGATTTTGAACTTGTGTAAAAAAAAATATTACAATAAAGTAAAAATAAATAATTTTTTTTTATGAATTAAATCAACTCGATATCAATGCATATACAAAAGCTGTCCTTTTAATCATCATCATCATCATCATCATCATCATCACGAATAGCAGGATAGTATATGGTGCCTGTTGTGTTAAAAGACAGTAGATCTGACATTAATTGAAGAATTGTGGAGAAGAAATTTCATTTGAAGGAAAATCCACTCTTCATACTGAAGTTGTAGGAAGTTGAAAAAATTTAAAACTTTTGTAATTTTTGAATTTTGTTAGGTAACTGTGAAAATATGACCTTTGCGATCTTTATGTGTGTGTCTCACTCTATTTTGACAAATGATTAAAGAAAAAATGTGAAGCCAAAAACTCACAATTTGGAGCCATTTGTGAGTAAAGTTTGGAAATGACTCAAGGGGTTTCAGGTAAACAACCCTTAAAATTTAAAGAACTATTGTCAAAATCACAGGGCTACGAGTCGGAACCGATAGTCCTGGAAATATTAATTTCCAAAGATTCCTAATATTATTTCTAGGCTTTAGTGTTCTTCACAGTCCAATAGACCAACAGACAGGCAGACCATCAGTAATATTTTTGAAATTCAAAACGTTGTGTACTGCAGTCACTCAGTTTACAGAAGGTCTGTAGACATTGTGATTCCAGTGCAGACCTGGTTATGCACAGGGCACTGTTCACTTTTCTATCCCAGCAGTGTCATTACGCGGGGTATCCACCATTACTTGTACCAAATACTACTTCTCCAGCCATGCACGTGCACGTTTAAGAGCAAACTATGGTGGAAATAACCCATACACCATGGTACAGTATTTTATTGTTTCTTTGCTGTGGTTTTGGGCACTATGGATGCACAAAACATGGATTCTGGCTACACCACCTGTAAGAGAATACATGGATTACACAAATTTTTCTGGTTTTATCCACTTTTTCATTATCAGGGCTTGGCAATAAGAATTCTTGAGTCAGACGCACAATTACAATACTTTCTCTTCTTGCGTTAGTAAGTACCCACAAAACATGGATTCTGACTACACCTCCTGTCAGAGGATTTCTTCTCTCAATTCAGCAACTGGGTTTTTCCACTTTTTGTTATCAGAGCCCAGCAATAAGTTTTTCTGCCAAAAATTCACTGGTGTTTCCCACAGCATCAAGTAATACTACTGTGGTTGCAAGGGTGACGAGAAAGTAAAAATGTAAAGAAAATTTTCTGAGCCGATTCAGAAAAATTTTATACAATCTTTTGCAATTTTTGAAATTTCAGAAGTTTTAATCAATGCACCTGCACTATTAGCACAGTCTGCTCTATTCAAGCAACATTTTTGAGAAAATTTTGAAAATGTTCAAGAGGATTCAGGTAACAGTAATGCTCCCCTCCCTTCAATATATTGAGGTCAGTTGACCAGTTTGATTATAACATCAGTTTTATCAGGGAAATCCATTATGGAGAAAATTCTATGTATAGAATAGCATAGTGTCATTCACACACAGCCAGAAGGAAAGATAAATGTTTTGAGAAAAACTTTTTTTTTATTACACGAATTCTAACTAAACCACCAATTTCAGAACATAATTTACCATATGTGGCAGCAAGAAAAATCCCCTCGTTTCATTATCATGAACATCTTAAACAGGTGTTTTTCAAACAAACAAAAAATCAGCACTTTTTCCTGCAGGAAATAAGGCTAGTTTTTAACCATTATCACTCCTTGTTCAACTGACTCTACCTCTGGTATTTGAACTTTATATCCATTTTTCACAATATGATATATTTATTCAAGACTCTCATAAAATATACGTATTCCTGCAAACTACTTCAGTGCTTGGTTGTAAAAATTGGAAGGAAGCAGCTTTGGGCAGGCAATACGAGCTCATTTTATTTTTGCTGGCATGCAACCTATACACAGTTTACAATGGTAGGGGATCAAGTAGTTTCAAATAACATGTTACTCTTAGCAGCAAAGCAGGGGCAACAAACAAACCCACATGAGCACCAAAGGTGAGGGAGTTTTGGGTGATACAAAGGAAGTTTGCAGTCCAGGCAATACAGTATTATGTATTGCGGAAGTGGAAAGGATGTAACCCCACAGTAGGTCTAGGGTATCGCTTAAGACCAATAAATGATCTTGACGTGTAGCAATAATATATTTCGTACAAGAGTATTTGCAACTCGTCCCAATTTTCATCAGGAAGATCAGACAGGTAGATACAATGCCATAACTTTATGATTTTCACATCATATTCAAGTAAATGTTTGAGATAACAGAGTACTTATTAAATTTTTTTAAAATGAAACTCATTATGCAAAAAAAAGTAATTTTAATTAAAGTACTCTATGTAGTCTGTGCAATCATTTGCATTACGAAATGGGACAAGTGTTTTGTAGGATTAATAGAAACAAAATACTTCACTTAATGACAATCTGGAGTACATAAAATTAATATTAACAAACATGTAAAAAAAATGAAAGAAAAAAGTTAGGAATTCCCAGAAACAAACTTACAGTACAATAATAGTTGTGATATACTTGAAAAATATTTCTTACTTCCTGTTCGAGATCGGGGCTGTTCTGGCGTAGTATCAGCTGTAAAATGAGCCACTTCCTGTGACGTAGTAGAGCCAACAGACTGCAACGAGCTATGTGATTCCGAACGACGTATAGCCTGAAGGGCTGCCTGTTCCTGCAGCTGTTGAGCAATGCTCTGAAATCAAATCAAAATGGTTCTTTTAAAATGAAAAGCAGAAAGAATTTACAAACCCACCATATATGATAAGAGAAATCGTACAGTCTCACCTCCATCATTTCCAATTTCTCTGGATATGCCAAATCCCCAGGAGCTGGCTTATAGTTCAAAATATCTGACTGAAGATAGCAATGAGTTCGAAAAACTAATCGCTCTTGCACATCGTGTAAAAGTTGCCAAGCAATACGGCCAAAAGCTTCCAATGGAACCGCTAGAAATAAGTTTTCAAAAGTTTAAAATTATTACACATATTTATACTGTACAAATATTTATAATGTATATATACATACATATATATATTGGGCATTACTGTGGAATCTCATTAACATATACATTATTTCCATGTTTTTGTGCATACTTTCATAGTTTTAAGACCTATTCCCATTTCCCTTTAATTACTCATTTAACAGTATTACCTAGTATGTTCAAAATTTGTTGGTAATGTGTTTCACAAGTCATATTATTCGGTACAGCACCACCTGTTCCTGCATTGTGCATTTTTCAATATTGCATTTTTTACCACTCAAGATATTCAAAATGTTTGGTCCTTTGAAAAGCGTGCTCACGAGATTCCACAGTATTAAAAATAAATTTGTAAGTATCAACTACTGTCGCTACTGGGGACTACTTTTAAACAAATGTATTCACAAGATTCTGTAACATTATTCATTAATACAAACCAAGAACTAATATGCATTATATAAAGAAAAGTAGCAATGAGTTCCTAGGGTGATTAATTCTGAAGATTTACTAACAGATCTTAAATAATTAAAGAGTTCCATAGAGTTTAAAATGCAGTAAGCACATCAAATTAGGATTTAGTGTCTTGAAGAATATTACTTACAATTGTTCTGCACGTGCTCTTCTAGCATTTCAAGTCTCAAAATTGAACATACTTCTGCCAAAGTCTCAAGGTGATTGATGTGGATTATAATAGGACGAAGTGTGTCATACAAAGATGTGCAAAGACCTTCCAGGAATACACTGTAATTGAAAATTCAAAGATAATTCATACAATAAAACAAAAACAAAAAACTGTAGTTTATCAATTTGAGACTGTTGGTTTCATAAAGCATGGTAAATACTGCAAATATTAACCGAATTATTGTTTTTAAGACACAATTACTAAAACGGCGGTTTTATGCATCAGTTATCAAAACATTATTATCATTATCATTATTATCATCATCATTATTGTTATTGTTATTGTTATTATTATTATTATTATTATTATTATTATTATTATTATTATTATTATCATTATTAACACACTTACGTCAACTGAGAAGCTGGCCGGCTAAAAAACTGGAAAAAAAGTTGGTGTTCATCTTGACATACGTGCACAAGAAATGCGCACCCAGAACGTACAAGAGAACAATGGTCCCCATGATGTGTTTTTGCAAGCTCTGCTACTGAAGAACGCACACTTGCAGCCAACAATAAGTCTCTTTGTTCAAAATAGCACTGCAAACAGTCTGCCAGAAGAAGTTCATGTCTAAAGAAATCAAGAAATTGTTCTTAGCAACTCAATAACCGTAATTAAAGAGCCATTTAACCAAAATGAACAGAACAAGAAATAAAAGAAAATTCCAATATTGTGGTGTGTGTACAGTTTATACCCAAATATAAGAGAAGTGTTTTTTTCAGTTTTATCTTCCAAAAATCTGAGAAAATTTTATAGTTTCTTAATGTCTTTAGTAGGCTAACTTTTCATTTTTGCCCACCCTCTTCCCAGCTATCATCTATTGCTGCCTCATGGGCAATATGTGTTTTTTCACAAATTTTCCATTCCCTAATGGTAGACCTGATATATGACTTTAAGAATATTATAGAAGAGTAAAACCAGGTCTATAAGCGAATTTTCATAGAAAAATTTGGAACAATTTCTGAAAATGCACACTTTTGAGCCCATTTTCATTGAAAACTTCAGTTTCATTGAAAATAATTTGAAGCACTTTACTCTCAAATGCAATGATGTACAAAAAAAATTCTCACAGTAAATATAAATATTAATGTCATGATGGTAGCAGACATCTTGTGGTAAATCATAATTTGAGAAAAGAAATAATTGTCCACAATCAAAGTTATAATAATTAATGTAATTTCTTTCAAATGGACTACATAACAATAATAAGACACCTTACTGAACACCATACATTATGAAATGCAGATATTAACAAAGGCCCTGAAAACAACAATGTTGAAACTAACTATGGGAATGTTTGTGAAACACTTAAGTGTCATATTCACATCACATACCAAGAATAGAATAAATTTAAATAAACCTTGGATTAATCATGAAATCATAAAACAAAGCAGACTTAAACATCAAGCATGGGCAAATTATAGGAGAACCAGAAATAAGTTAAAAATCATCTCAAACAATCTCTCCTCTAATGTGAGACAACGTAAACAAAAACTCGAAGAGCAAATTATTCAGGATGGTGGCAAAAGATTCTAAGGTACTAAAGATAAAACCGGTCCCCCTATGATTGTTCTGAATGAAGATTCTGTGATAACTCATTTAAGTGAAATCACGGAATACTTTTCAAATGAGTTCGGAAAAGTATATACTGTTGAACCAGAAGACCCATTGCTGATTATTGAAGAGAAATGTTACAAAATGACTTCAAAGTGGTAAGATGTTTAGAATCTTGGTTGCTGCCTTTAAACTTCAACAAATATGTGGACCTCCATCTAGGCAAAATTAACCCAAATCTTTATATTATAGCATTGAAAGTTCCACAATAGAACAAAATGACCTTGGTGTTCGTATCACTCAAAATTTGAAATGGAATACGACATATATATTAGACCTAAACTAGAGTATGCTAATATTGTTTGGTCCCTTTATTAACAAAAGATAAAAAACATATTGAAAAGTACAAAGGCAGATTACCAAGATCCCTAGAGAACTACAACAATTGGATAACAAAGGAAGATGCACAGAAATATCACTTAACAAAAACTTTTACAACCTTGAATGTATATTATAAAATTCCTGAATTTAACAACTTTTTTACTAAAGCCATGGAATCTAGACTTAGAAGACATACAATGAAACCAGTGAAAGAAAGGACAAGGGCAGGACAACATTCTCATTTTATTGCAAACTGAGTAGTAAATCCATGGAATTCAAATCCTGCACATGTTTATAAGAACCCCTTTTATTTTCCCCTTTTCTTCTTGTTCTCCCCTCCCACACCTTGGTAGGCTTTCTCTTCTCTCCATTCCAAAAGATGGCTGCCACCTACCCATACCCAGCATGTTTTTCAGTTTTATATATTTATCCAATCATGTTATGAAAGTTTGTAGTGATTCACATTGCTTGGTCAGTAAGTATTTTAATTTTATATATTATTACATATTATTTGTTCATTTCTTCATATAATTTGACTATATTTCTTTTTGATCCCTTTATGTTAATTTTTCAATTTTCCTTCTCCTTGCCTCACTGAAGGTGGGAAAAGTGTTTTCCCAAAAGTTGACTCTGGGAATGCGATAATTAATCAAATTATTATAACTTTGATTGTGGACAATTATTTCCTTTCTCGAATAATGACATGAGAGATATAATACTTTCAATTGTGTATATTTTTAAATAAAAAAAGAATACAGCAAAATGGCTTTTATGTCATCTGATACAGTACACTATCCATACAAAATGTTTGAACAAAACGTTGGAGCAAATTTTGAGAAAATCTTAATTCTAATATTGGGCATACTTCATTCAAAAATGCACAAAACTCAGTAATACTTTCAAAACAATTCACAAGGCATTAATTAAAGAACTAATTGTGAAGAACAAATTTAATTCAAATATTTTTTTAGTATTTTCAATATTGTAGTTCTGAAGACGCCAAGAAAAGTCAAACTTTTACAATTTTCTAAATTTCCAAGTTATCAGTGAAGCTCAGACCTATGCCGTCTTTATGTGTTTTGTGCCCTATTCTTACAAGAAATTTAAAGAAAAAATTGGGAGACAGTTTTGAAAAAAAATTTTAATATCCCAGGTGCTTCTTGTAAAGTACTCCCAAAACTTGGAGAATCTTTTTCAAAATAGCAGATTCTTGCAGTTACTCTAATAAAATTAATTAGTTTGTTCTGACTCTTGCTTCAAGATTAACATTGTTTATTTACTCACTCCTGACTTCGATCACAACGCTCTTCAATACGTGTCAATAAACCTTTTAGGCGAGTTGCAGATGCTTGGAATTTCCCATAACATAATGCAAACACTTGATCAGCTGGCAACTGCCCTGGGACTCCTTGACGTGGGGCAAGGACTTGTTGAGTGGCATTTAAGAATACTGATAATACATATACTCGCACAAGGCCCAGTGCTTTGCTCAAACAATGTCTGTATTTTGCAAGATATGAATCTGCTTCTCGCCACTTACTCTGTAATGATGCAAGAAACATTAATACGCCCAAAAATAAACAATAACACAAACGTATCCCACAAACAACTGGGAAAAAAAAAGGTATCCAAAAGATAAATTGGAACTTCAAATGAAATATAAATTTGAAATGTAGGTTTGTACCTACATTAAGGCATTAAAAGATTAAATAATACATAGATAACATGCTACCTATGTCAAGGCTAGGAAGGAAAGAAACTCAAGCATCTGACCAATCATTTATTCTATTCTTCAAGCAGGTAGTATATTCCTATCAAACTAGAACATAATCCACGATAATTCGAGAACATAAAAATTTGAAAAATTGAAAAACCATAAGTTTTTTTTAACACTTTCCCTCTTGAGTTTCAACTTCAAAATGATTCTTAAATAATATACAAATTCAGCAAGTTCAAGTTTAGAAAACAAACTTTTTAAAAAAATTTATTTATTTTTTTTCCCTTTAAAATTAACAAGACAACACAAACATTTTTCAACAATAAGTGTAATACACTTTCACTAAACTTTATTACTTTGAAGTTTTTGCTTTTTATTATTAGCATTAAAAGGTTATAAAACAACTATTTACTGTATTTGCACTTGTTACATTACTAAACACGTTTGTTTATGTTTACTTTCTGATGAAATTGTACAAGAAAACAAAAGATAACAGCATAATGGACAAGCTTCCTGTAAAGCCCAAATTCTATGATCAGCATAATACAAGTGTGAAAACAACAGAAAGAACGGTGGTCTTGTTAATGAACAAAACACAGTCCAAAACAGAGCTCAGGTAGTGAAAGAAAGTGTTAATGTGTTAAGATATCATAATTAAAAAAAAAAAAAAAAAAAAAAAAAAAAAAAAAAAAAAAAAAAAAAAAAAAAGTTTGATTATGTATATTATTATATTTTAAAAAATGAACATTAAAACATGTCTCATGTTTGACCGAATGAAACATAAGAATGAAGAAAATGGTATATTTATTTAACCAAAGCAGCAGTTGTTCTACATTTCTTATAATTGGGCAAGACAAAATTAAATGGTCAAAATTGTCCATTACATTTAAAAAATGGGTCATAGACAACGAGAGTAATTGGTTTGATTTTCTACAGGAACTCAAAAATAAAAAAAGGGGAAATAGAAAATGATTCTTTATTATTATGCAATTTTTATGACATGTAATTAGAAAATAATTCTTATTTATCAGAATCTGTTAATTCATAAAATACTAGAAATTAACAGCATGCTAAAGGATATTATCTACAGCACACATCAGAGAAGATGAGTGCAAAATTCTATTGAATGCAAATCAAACAAGATATTCCAATAGAGAATTTACACTAATTAGTCATACTGCTCCGGTTACTACCCAGTTTTTACAAGGAAAACTTGTTCAAGCTTCATAACAGATCACATTTTAAAATTAACCTAAATTTCTATGAAAATATTTTTTACCACATACATGAACACTCATGTACTGTATACATGAGTCCAGTTGGTCCAGAAGATCATAAAACTGATCACTGGCAACTGATAGAGTCGGGGAGCCCAATCGCTGAGTCAAGTTTTCCAGAAGAGTGAAATATCGCAGACGTTGTGACACTTCTTCACTCAGTGAATGGAGTTGTGTCTGGAAATTAACAACATTAACAAATACTATTCAAAAACCAGTCTCACAAAGTAACTCTTAAATACAAAATTATCCAAAATCATCCAACAAACAAATTATGATATTGTTTATCTGATTAAGATCTAAGGCATTTATTTTTACTAAAAAAAGGCATATATTCTGGCTAAAGTAGGGCGATAAAAACACTGAAAAGATTGAAAAAATACCATTTTAAAGTAATTATTGTAAAAAATTAATAATTAAAGTGATTCAAATTTATATTTAACTCTAAAATTTATGTTAGCACCTATCTGGCAGGAAAAAACCTATTCTTTGTAATATTGATAGTACATGACTACCTGGTATAACTAGGAATTTATTTTACTCATGGCACTGTCTATGAAACGTTGTTGTTGACTCCCTTTTGAATCTTCAAATGGCGTCTGTGAAAACGGAATTATAGATTTCATTCTTTACACTTGTGTAATCACCAGAAGGGAAAGAGAACAAGAAGGAATTGAGGAGAGTATACCATATATAGTCAGCTCCGTCGTAAAAAGGAATCTGATAAATACAATGAGCTAGCTTTCTCTTGAGCAAACAAGTCAGTCAACATTAATGAAAAATGTTGTCCAGGCTTACATGTACGATTCCAGCTTGATAGAGATTGGTGTCACGAGAAAAAAACGGTAAAATAATAACAAAAGCCAAAAATAGGATTTCCAATCAGAAGCTAAAATTGGCAAAATAAAAATCTTCTAAAACAACTCCAGAAGCAAGAATAAGTGATTTCTATTCAGTCATAAAATCTTGAAATTAATAATAGATAGGCATTTTGCCAAACTTCTGGGCTCTAATATTAATAATCTTCTAGCTAGAGCAGAAATTCTGTATCCCTCCCCACATATATTTCACATTTTAACTTCTTTTCTCCAAAATAGCCTTGCCTTGATTATATTCAAAGAGATATGAAATTAATTATTAACAATTAGCTACAAAATACAAATTTGAACAAGGGCTGAAGAAGTAATGTGGAGATTGCAACAGAAACGTTTATTTCTAGATTTCACAACCTTGCCATATAAATTGTTAAAAGTTTGGGGTTGTTAAGACTCTTTGGTCTGACTTTCAAGCATTTATTCCCCAAACAAAAAAAGCAAAATTCCTGGGAAATTCCTTTGGTAACTCTCAACAATAAGTGCCTGCAAAAATAAGTTTACTACATCTTTAGACAAGTGAAAATATTTGCCAGAAAGACATCTAAGCACTTTCCCAATTTCTGTGAAATATGATCAGCTTTCATTTTTGTGAACTACAAAAAGTGCGAGAGAATCACAAGGGCTTAGATTGTTGTAATAACTTCTTTATTTTCAATTTAATGAACAATTTATCCACATGATTACAAAAATTACATCTCAATAACTCAAGCTACAATGAAGTTCAGTTCACATTATTACATCTATGTACAGTATGTGATTGTAGGAAACAAAAATGCAGACTAAGAGTACAATGAAAATTAGAAGAATAGAAACATAAACAAGATTCTAATTTTAAATACATCTCACAATGAAACAGTACTACAGAAAATAAACAAAACAAAAGAAGGAAGCAATGTAATTAAAGTTACACCAAATATTGACAAAATAAAGAGCAACATAACAAACATGAATTACTTAATATCAGAAATCATTCCAAAAAGTTAACTCTTCACATCATCACTGAATATGGCATCATTCAGCAAAAGAAATTTAATTAAACTTATTGGCAGCTACACACATTCTGTTAATAAAATTGTTAGCTGTTTATGAATGCTTATAAAACTTCTGAACAAACATTTGTGGTCTTCCAGTGTTGAAGTTGGGGACTTTATAACACAACAGATTTAGCAAAAGTGAACAATCCATAGTACAACTTCAAAATTTTGCAAAAACATCATATTAACATAATCTCAAAAGATTTCACTGCAGGAATGCTCAAAAGTAAAGCTATAATACTATAATCGTGAGTTATAAAGGGATCCTGAACCACTGCAAGTTATGCAGCAAGTCTAAAATACTTAAGTTGGATTTTTTTAAATTAAGATTGTTATTTGTGCACTATTTGATAAATTTATTTAGTGATTCCTGTAACACGGTTTTATGTGGAGTAGACATAATGATCTTAAACATTTTTAGGTCATCGGGAAAAAGATGTTCAACATCCCTTACAATATCGAAACATCATTTATAAAAATTTAAAAAAATAGGTGACCAAGGTCAGAAATTTGAGGTACCCCAGATAAAACATGGGATCAGAAGTAGCATTTCAACACACACATACTGTACACAACCCAAAAAATAATGTATTAACCATTGAAGTAGAGATCCGCATACACAAAAATGTTGCAACTTCCAGAGAAGAATGGAACGATTCTCAGAATCTAAGACCTTACTGAAGTCTCTGTATAAAAACTATCAACTAGAAGATTATCCTCCATTCCATTGAGAATATACTGAGAATAATATAGGAGATTGGCTTCAAGATTCCTAATAAAACCAAACTGTCTCTCTGACAGAAATGGTCAGATGAAGTAATTGAATTTATCAACAATTATTGATTCAAATACTTTATGAATTACATTAAGATTGTAATTGGTATATAATTAGAAATACAACTCTTATCACCAAGTCTTAAGATTCGTGAAATGTATGACTATTTTCACTCTGTTTGAAACAGACCTTCAAATAAAGATTTATCAAACAGAGCAAATAGGAGAGGATAAATTTACATCTTTTTAACAAAAAATAATGGAACCCCTCAGAACCCGCATTCCCTTTCATGTCAAGGTTTCAAGTTTTTTAAGTACATTAGAAACACTCAAGTCAATGGAGATCAAAACATAGGGAGATCTATCAATAAAATTTATATCATCTACCTGACTTGAGTGATGAATATAGAAGGTGGAGAAATAACTTACAAATCCATTTACAATAGACTGAGTATTTCCATAGACAATTGAACCCATCCTCAATGAGCAAGGTAAACCTCTGCTAGTCTTTACAGAGTTGATGTATTTCCAAAAGTTTCTTTTATCAGTAATGATATGTTGTGCAAGATCCTCATTAAACCTTGAGAAGTTATATTTTGCTTGGCTTTCACATTTATATCTAAAATTGGAAAACAAAGTATAATACAGTGGTGAGTTAAACATTTTGTAGTATTTACGGGCTTCCTTCTTCCTGAAAATTAGTTCTTTTAGATCCTGACAACATCAATGAGGAAACTTCGATTTTTTTCAATATCTTTTTAGGCACAAAGAGATCAATACACTTATAAATGTAGAAGTAAGAAGTAAAAGTAGAAATAGAATTAGAGAAGCAAAGATTGGAAGATCAGTGTAAAGAATATAAATTAAAAAGATATGATTCCATCACAGAGTAGTTTGCATTAGTAATGTCATAAATCCAACGTTCGTCATAAATATTAAATTACATGAATATATATTACATAAATATTGCATTACACGTTGTGAAAAACTGATAATTTAAACATAAGGATGGTATGCATTAACAGAAAACTTCCCCACGAGAATGTGTAACATGGTGATAAGTAGAATCAGAAAAGACAAGATCAAGTACAGCATCGTTATCGTTAGTCATTACATTAATTTGAAAGAGATTCAAAACACTAATTGGATTTGTCAAATCTGGATTGATTTTTAACGGCTCAGAGCAATTTTTTTTTTTAAGAGTTGAAATGTCTAGGTCAGGGTGACAAGACAATTCTTCCATACAAATTTACCCAATCTAATGTGGTTTTGGATGTCACCAGCATTAATATCACAAACAACACTTTGAATCTTTAACAAAACACTCAACCATAAAACACCTCAGAAATACCTTCGGTATTTTCAAATGCTCGTCTACACCCCCCTCCTCTCTTACCTAGTCTCAATTAACATTTTAAAACCAAGATCTTTCTCATAATAAGATTTCATCATCTTTTATTAGGAACCATTGATTATAAAAGACTAAATGCCAAATCTGGACATTTTTAAGAAAAATACAATTAACCGAAATCCAAAAGAATAATAAAAAACAATAGCGCAAGTCACAGTTACTCAGTGTAAAATTGGCAGTTATCTTTATGGACTTATACATTGTAGCTTTTCTGTATCAGGCAATCATTAAATATAAATAAGAATATGCACAAGAGAAAAAAACAAACTTTTATTCACTTAACTTAGGTTGACAGAAATGACTAGCAAAGTAAAAACTTTTGAAAATGAAAATTGTGATTCATCTTGTTCATAAATTGCCTTACCCATGACACAAATGATTCTCTTGCAAGTCTGCAAATATTAAAGTCTTTGTGATTTTAAACTTACAGAAAAAATAATAATGCATAACAGTTCATTAAAACAAATTCAAACAAGATTTTTTCAAGACTATAAACATGGGTCAAAGGGTACCATATTCGAATCGTGTGTAATCATATACTATATATAATACTTACCTGCTCAGCCAATAGTTGTTCACTAACTCTATGAAGAGATGATGTTCGTTCAGAAACTGAAAGATACTGTCCTGATAGACAACTTAAATCTCCAAGTGCTGCCTCCACCTAAATGTTATAATGTTACATATTATTATTCTATAAAAAACAAATTGATTAATCAACTTTACTCATGAAAATACTAACATGCTCGAGAAGTGTAGCACATTCTAAACGCCATGCACGCAATTGTTCATAATATTGTAGATACAATTCATCTTCTTCATCCAAAAGTTCTTCTTCCACTTGAGTATACCATGTAAGAAACTAAAAAATGCATTGAAATTAATTATAAAAGGATCAACATTTTCTACTAATAACATTTCATTGAAAAGTTAAACAAGAAAAAATTCTCAATTAGGCTTGCAATAAAATAAAGATGAAAACAATACCTGATGTGTGGTTTCAATTTTAAGGTCCCCTTTATTTAGGGCTGTAATGTTGCGAGGAATTTCGCCAGTTTTTTTATCAAGAGGTTTTTCTTCCTGTCTGGTGACAGTCCACCGAATTTCAGGATGACTATTACTCTGAAAATTGAAACAAGTTAATTACACTTCTTGATACATTTTGTAAGTCAACGGATCAGAAACCCATATGAACATTAAATCAATTTCTCAAAGAAAAGGATACTTACTCTGCGACTTCGTGAACTATTTATTTCCTCTGCAACCTCCAAAATTGCATGTCTTTGAAATGAGGTTAAAGGTGCCAGAGAATTTTCAGACTGTTCCCACTTCAACAACTTATCTTGGATCTTCTTAATTTCCACGTTTTCTGCCATCACTTACCCACGAGAAGTTCAACACTCACATCTCTCACAAAACAAGTAATGCAAAATTGCTCTAGCCGATTTACCCGATTTATCTCTCTGGTGTCTTGCCTGGCAAGAAACACAGCGAAAGATACGAAAGACACGCAGTCAGTCACGCGCCACACCTGCGCCCCCGCGCCTGACAGGAACAGTTTGTGATCAGTTGGTTTGACAAGTTGGCAGCAAGTATACTTTCTTTTCTCCCCAACGTGGCGCGTCATAGCCAGTCGTAGTCATATACTCTGTGGTCGGGACTAGTTTTTCCGTCTTGCCAAAAGCCATCTATCGCCACCCAAAGTAAACTTTTCTCCAAAAAAATCTCAATTTTTCGGTTTTCTAATGTTAGAAACAGAATATGTAAGAATATTGCAGAAGAGTGAAACCTTGTCATATAAAGAAAATTTTCAGTGAAAACTTGAGAGCCGCTTTTAAGACAGTTGTTTACGCATTTTTTGAATGCGAAATATGAAGTTCATTCTTCACATTTGAATGTGAATTGTGAAGATGATGTACAATTTTCAAAAAATGCACATCATCTTAATGAAAGAAGTGATTAAGGAGAACAAATTTCATTTGAATCTCAATTTGAAATTCAATTTTCATCGCTATCTTGAATTATGTAGTCGTAGGAAACTCTGAAAAAATTTCAGACTTCTGCAATTTTCGAAATTTCAATCTATACCGTGAAAAACGGACCTATGCCACCTTTATGGAATGTCACTATTCTTAAAAGAGATTTAAAGAAAAAAATTGGAGGCATCTAATTTTTACGTCGTGAAGGCACAATAGAGATGTCAGAATGACGTCACAACGTTTGGCGGGAAAATGTTGGGTGGCAACTATTGCTGTGAATTAAAGCGATTCCTAGAGAATTATTGCGCTTATTGGCTGTGTGCGGTTACCGAAGTGCGTGCGACTTATCACATTTATTCACGTTGTTTTTTGTTTTTTTCTGTTTATTTAGGTTCTATCTGAGAATATCGTCGCCAAATTGATTTAAAAAAAAACTCTCTTTATTAAGCACACGCATTATAACTCTTTCTTTTTGAAAAAGTTTCGAAGTAAATATATTAAATATCAGGTTTGTGTCCAGCAGCAGTCCGAACAGCCCCGAACTAGTCCGCGCCATGCGCAGCTCTAGTATTGGGCCGTTCCAGCAGCAGCAGCAGCAGTCAGGATTGTAACTGGGAGTTGGGCGTTCCAGCAGGGTTGCTGATTAGTTTGAAACCAGTCCGAATCAGTTCGTGCACTCTCCCTCAAACCAGAAATCCGCGCATGCGTACTTCGGTCCCCGAGTTCCCGTCAACGCCAAACTTCGACGACGCGCCATTACCATAAAGTTTCTGCATAGTTGTTTTATATTCTGCACTATATATTTTTACCCTGCTTTGTTTTACATTTTATTAATTCTTGGTTTTTGGTGATTTTGCTTTCTTTCGGATTTTTCTCGTGGACATTGGAATTTGACCCTGCTTTATTTTACGTTTCATTGATTTTCTAGTTTTTTTTTTTTTCAAGTATTACTAATCCCGTGATTCTTTAAAATTTATTTTTGTTTATAGTTAAAACGATGGGAAGGGATTCTGGAACTCAAGAAAATATCGGCAGATCATATCCATACGTCACATATACAATTTTTTACATTTTTTTTACTAAATCAATCTAAATCTAGATTCTTGGATTTTGATGAGTTAGCTATATTTCAGATTTTCTTGTGGATATTGGAACTTGATATTTATTTATTTATTTATTTGTTTATTTTTTTTTTTTTGAAATGGTAGGTAAGTAATTTTAAGGGAGTTCCTTGTACCGTGACTTACTAAATATGTATGTAGTTATTTACCGTTCTGTAGTGATAGCGTTATCTCTCATTTTTAAGAAAAATACAATTAATCGAAATCCAAAAGAATAATCAAAAACAATAGCGCAAGTCACAGTTTACCAGGTTCAAAATCTGTAATTGATAGCAAGGTCAAGAAAATAAGCCAGCAATTGTGGAGAAACGTAAAGCGCAAGTGAATACCACAGGATACCAGGAACTAACCAGGGTCAGGTCCCTTTGATTTTTACATGCGTCACGAAAATTATATCTGGCGGAGAATTCTGCAACTACCGATGAAACGAAAGCAGCGGCACTTACAAACTGATTTTTGTACCTACTTGTTCCAACAGATCATCCAGGTCACCAATCCGGGACTCGTTTGACTGTTTGTGACTAGTTTGCACTCGCGCATGCGCAGAGTGAGAGTACGTAAAACAGTCCGTGATTGTTTGCTGGAACAAACCTATCATGACCTTACGTGGCGCGTCAAAGGCTGTTTTCACGATGTAATATCTCACAGCATTTTGCGTCTTTCTCGGACGCGCCACTAGACCAGTTATCTTAATTATGTAAACTGGATTCACAAACTGTAAATACTATGGAGAGTATAGTATTTGAGAACTGCGATGCTTTGAACTCCTTCGGGAGCAGAGAGTATATTCGGGAGTAAGTTCGGGAGCATGACGCCTGATTCTGGTGAATTGGCTAACCTGGAGCGTATTCCAATGTGTATACTTTGGAATACAAATCCAGTTTTCCTGATCATTTTTTCATCATTTTTCGCCGGTACAGAAAAGAGACAGACCAGAATGGATGTAATTTGTACTAAAAAATGACGCAGGCTTCATGTTTCAGTACAGATTTCATCCAGTTTGATTATCGCGCTCCTGGCGTCACTTTCTCTGGTTTGTCATGCGTTTGGTGCAATTTGTTCATTTTGAAGTTTCGAGAGCGTTTTGATATGTTGAACTGTAATGTAATGTGATTATGTAATGAGAAATAAATCATGTACTGTGTTCTAATGTCACCGCGTTGTCTGCTCGGTCCAAATAACAACATAACTTAATTTGTTACCATAGATGCGATGTACAAATGTTTGATCTTCAGCGCTGTTTGTGGCGTCCAGAGGAAGTATTTTCATCACGTTTACGTACAAAGACCAGAAATGATAATGTAATACGCTGGATTGACTTTCATCCAGTTTCAGCCATAGAGTAGAGATATATCTCTACTCTATGGTTTCGGCACCGAAACAACGCGTAGAAACGAACGTACTTTTTCCATCCTCTTTCTGTACAGGAAAATGAAAAAAATGATGCAAAAATGACCGTGTAAAACAGGCTTAAGACGTTCCTTTCAATTTTCTCCTGAACCACTGCAGATAATGGCCTCACCGCATATCACCCGGAATTTCTCGTTCAGATTACGGTAACGAATAGTCGGCATGCGCTTTTAAAACTCTTAATTTCTCGAAAATTTTGTTATGTAACATATGGCGATATGCTTATTTATGAACTCGTTACTTCACGCTTGTTTTGATGAGCTAAAAAAAGTTGAATATATTTATAAATCATTTAAAAAGTCGAAGTTGGGTAAATATCTCAGCAATAAAAAAATGCAATAGAACAATATTATGCATTACCATATGTGCCTTGTGCATAAAGTAGTTTTAGTGGAAAACAGCATCTTAGTATCTGGAAACGGTTCAGGACAAAATTGAAGAGAACATCTTAGTTGGGCCACACGGAATGTCAGAGACGGCGCTCAATGTTAAAAGGGAATGCCTTATTTGCCCAACGTCAGGTCCCACCACAGGGGTGAAGGTGAGATAGGGAAATTGGCAACACACTGCCAGGCCACTTGGAGCGCCAGTTAATAATAATAATAATAATAATAATAATAATAATAATATTTATTGAGTCACATATACAATTACAATCGTGTATGACGAGTCAATATGATGCCTTGGGTGGAGAGTGCGAAGTTATATTACTGTTCAGGAGCAAACAAGGGGCCATCTCAGCATTTGCTCAAAGGACCAGGGAAACTGAACAAAACCTGATCGAGATGGGGTCATTGGCCTAGAAATACAATACCTGTTACAGTTAGATTAAGATATTATACAGTAGATAAATTATCTGTTAATAATTAACATTTCAATATGATATTTTAATGCTACTACTTATAATAATTATATTAATAAGAATTACATTAATAATAATAATTACATTAATAATAATTACACTAATAAAACATATCAATTATGTTTGCAACTACATCAAATTTAACAATAGTAGTACATTCTATATTTATAACTTGAAATGGTGAAGTTGAAAGAATATCAAGTAATAATTGGTAAGTGGTTTTCGATTGTTTCTGTACGTCACATCCAGCCTGCGTTTTCCGCATGGCGGAAAAGTGAATCATATTGCCGTTGGTTATATCCATGAGTTATGTTAGTGTTCTGTGCGTTCATGTCTGTGTTGCGCGTTTCAAGATATTTTGTTTTAGCGGACACAATCGAGTTTTCTCCATTTCGATTTGCTGGTCTTGCTGGAATACAAGGATGTTTCGCAATATAGAGGTTAGCATTTAATTTATAATGTAATTCACGATTATTTGTATGGAATTTGTAGCCTACTGTATTTACATAACACTATAAGGAAAATATGTATTTTTTATTATGTAATGTAATGATTTATTATGATTTGTTATTTAATGTAATATTTTTAAAGAATGTTCATGAATATTTGTATACGTTTCTGGAAAACAAATGGCCATTAATAATTTGGAGAGAATGTTTTGCTCTAATTCCAACTCACCTGATGATACATTATTTGTTAAGTGCATTTATCCGAAGAATTTATTTTTAAAAATTGTGTTCGTTTTTTAATATACAAATATGTAATAGATGAAAACAGAAAATACAAACTAAAAGAAAATATACAAAAGACCATGAAAAGGTAAAAAAAATTAAAATGTTGAAGTCTGTATTGAATATTGTTTAATATAAATTGTACAATAATGGCAATGATTTATTTATTTACTTATTTATTTTATTTTATTTCTGCCATCACCATATAATTATATATGACTATCCTCTGTTATGACCTTATCCAAGAGCATTACGAAAATAGATAATTACTATATTTGAGAAAAATTGCAGTAGAATGTAGCCTATTTCCTATGTAGCATATATCCATTACTTTCGCGAAGACGATTGAGTGAAATTAACTTTCATACGCTGCGCTGGGCAGGCGGTTTTCTATAGTTCTTTCCCAGGACACTTGGAGTGCTGCGAGCGACTTTTGTTTCCGACTTTTTAACATTCAGGATCTTTTATAGTTCTGTGGGCCCCACACCTTGTTCTATATAATTTCTATGAGCCATACGGACAGCCGATAGCAAAGAAGTAACCGGTAAATTTGAAATAAACTAGCAACGCGGGAACTTTAAACTTTATCTTCTATAATAATCAAAATAGTCACAATAATAATTATAAGGATTTTCTACAAGAAAAAAAGTCAAATTAGGGCAGCCAAATATAGTATTTCTTGAGCATATTGATATTACACAATTTCAATAGAATTAACAATTTTGTATTACACAAGGCAATAAACCAGCTCAAATGCAACTTTACTAGCTTGTAGACATGCTATATTATTGTGAATACTATATTATTGCAGACCATTATGCAGGAACAATACCAACCGTGTTAAAAAGAAACAAAACATTATCGCACATTTGTCCACGTAAAACAAATAGTTATGATAAAGTGATATTTTATTTTGCTAGTTGGAAAAGTAACATCACGATGACAATATATCACGTGCCCCAATCCTACGAGAAAAATAAAATCACTTTCACCACGTGTTTTTAAACAATATTACTGCCTTTCATCTTATTTTAATCAAAGAATACAAATCACTTATCAAGTTTACTATCCTATAAGTCATACGTGGTTCACAAAACGTAACACCCAATGGCTTTTAAAATGTCTGTGAACCACGTGTGGTTGACAAACATTTCAAACTTCTCAGGCAAATATTTTCATGGAACTTGCCGTAGCTACACAGATTTTGAATTGGCATTCCTAGGATGGTCATAGAATTTTGAAATACTCCTGGACGTGTAGAAAAATATTTTAAGTTTTGAGAAAATAACAATAAAATTATTATTGTAAAGTCGTTCGGACCTGCAGATTTATTTTGATGTTTTCATAGGGACAGGGAATGTGTTATTTATGAAGTATGTTACATTAAGGTCATTAGTACCTGCTTACGTCACATCAAAGTATTTTGTTTTCTTTGTTGCTTTCAAAGTATTATCTAAAGCTTTGAGCATTATCCCACTTTAAGCACTAGAGCAAAAAATTGAACCCTACTTTTATTTACAATACTATCTAAAAAAAACACATTTGCTCAACAAATATTACGCGCAATCCTACTTCTTAGCGAATACTTCCATACTGAATCTAAGTCCAACTACAGGTATTTACTTAAAAAATACGGAAAACTGGAATAGCTAGATGACCAAGACGAGAAATAACTACTGATCTGGCCGTGATCCACCGCTCGGCGACGGATCAATTGCGAGTCAAATTTGATCCGAGTCAGACACGTTGATTCGTGTCAAGTGCGTGGAGAAACGTACAACGGGATCAAACTGAAGTTGATCCGGATCAACTCGGGATCATCTTCTTGATTCCTGTTGGTGAAACCGGCCCATAGAGTTTGAGTCCCCTCTGATCCTTTCGGGCGTGGGTGAAGTGGCCCAGCTTGCGTGACTAAGTTCGCGGAGATTTTTACGAGTGATCTTCCGCGTTCCGCGCTTGCAGGGAGAAAAAATTCCCACAGTAAAATATACCTATAAAGGTGGCAAAGGCCCGATTTTCACGGTTGATGCTGAATTTTCGAAAATTTCAAAAGTTGGAATTTTTTCGGGGTCTTTCTACAACTTTAAAATTAAAAATACAGATTTTTCATTCAAATTAAATTTGTTGTCCATAATTTGTTCTTTCATAAAGGTCATGTACATTTTTTGAACATTTTGCACAATATTACAGGTAATTTGTGTAATTTTAAAAAATTACATAAACATTTCTTTTTAAATGGCTCAAAATTTTTTCTTCAAACTTTTCTAAAGGATAGTGCTAATTGCTTTCTTTAATATGATGTTAAGTTCATTTCGAGGTATTTTTTTGTTTTTTCAAAAATTACAAAAAAGTAATTTCTTTTGAAAGACCTCTCACGCTTTTAAATGCACATTTACAGCAATTTGTAAACACTATTGTATTTGTGAGTTAATGAGCTTCAATTGACTTAAATAGAAGTTTTAGAACAATTTGAAACTTTTCTGTGAAAAAGTACTTCAAATTATGAATGTACTGTAGCACTTGAACAACATTTCCTAAAATACAGCCCCAAATTTTTGAAAGAAAATTGCCATTTAGGATGCGGATTACTGTTTCTTTAAGTATTCTTCAAATAATATTTCTGTTCAATTATTAGGAAACCAAAAAAATGAAAATTTCAAAAAAGGGTTCTTTGGCCGGCAATACATTGCAGCTGGCAAGATGTGGCAAGTTCGTATAGCTAGGCGCGACCAAAGGAAATAGAAAACTAAAGCGGTCTGTGACATTCTGTAGCACCACTAGTTTCTGGTTGAACTAGTATTTTTATGAATGTTGTGTAACCATTACAAATAACGTAAGAAAATATGTGTAACACTACTATTTCAATGGAGTCTTACAGTTATTATGACGTCACATTTTCACCAAAATTTTCCTTCTCCCCAAAAATTGAAATACTTGGAAAATACTAGGAATAATTGAAATGGATTACAAAACTATTTTACCCAAAATTTCTGAAATCAAACAAGGTCTTGGGAATGGAATTCAATAACAACATGGTAATCTCATGCCACATATTCTCTTAATTCTTTATTGGAATAAACATTCTCTTATTTCCAAAGTAACGTTTTATTGTTGACACTTCTACTCTCTATACAGAGATTAGTAGTAGTACTTAATTCTAAAGTACTTCTGCATCAAGTTGGGAAAGGCTAGCCCTTTCATAAGGAACAGCTCCAGCTGTTCAAAGAAACCACTACAGTGTTACATACAAAAATAAATCGGTCAGTTGGTCTGGGGATGATGTAACAGTTCGAGGTCCTTGCCTCATGTCATCTGGGCTTAGGAAATTTTCTGTGATACCTATTACATAAGCAAAATATTTCATTTATAAAAAAAATCCCACTAAATGTTTCATATCTGTTATGAAAGGCTTGGTGCAGCTGGAGTAACATACAGCAGCCTTACTGTCTCACCTCTCTCAGGTACTAGGTAAGCAGTCAGTTGTGTCTCTGTAAAAACAGTCAACCCCTGAACATGCAACATTAACATTAGCATTTTTTTGTTAATGAACATAATTTATTTTTATTTAAAACATAATTTTAAAATTAGAAGAAAACAGGAGCAATATTTAATTTTCAAACTGGTAAAAATTTGATTTGGTTTTCAACCAAGCAATAAAAAGTAAACAGAAAAAGTTTGCAAAGCTACAAATTGCTTTAAAGCAAAATATACAGAGGAAACTAGACCATTCAAATTTCTTAAATGATCTAATTACAACTATTTGTTACAAGTTTTATAAAGTACAATAATTAAACATTGTCCACATTCAAAATAATAATATCCATGTAGACAAATGAATTACAAGGTCCGACAAATTTCAGTTGCAGTCAGGGGCCCACTGTATGTGTATTAGTGTGTGTATGTGTGTTTATGTGTAGATGTGCTGCTGCAGGAGCACGCAGCACACCTCAGCTAAGAGGCAACACTTCTGGACACAGTTCAACACTGGACTAAGACATCGGTGGTATGTTGAAACACAGTGAAGGCAGCGAACCCATGGGGACGTGGCCAAGTGTTTAAATGAACATTTATATTATCACAGATGTGCTGTGTCCACATCACACCTTGCTTGCTTCTCTGCAGTGTGCACTAGATATGTGTACAGACCAGTTATTGTAATAAGCACAGATGCCTGCTGCAGCAGTTCCAGACAAACTAACAGGAGCCTTCAACCAAAGACAGAGTCAGAGGTAATGGGAGCCTATCACTGGTTTCCAGTATTACAAGATGTATATGTAGGCTTCAATACACTATATGTACTTAGTCAAAACTATGTAAATCAACTTGTATCCTATCTATTTATTATCACAAGAAATACTTATGGTGTTTTTTGAAGACACTTCTGTTCTACCAGCACAATCTACACTCTTGTATGTTATAATCTTATTTATAAAACTCAAATGTGTAAAAATAATTACCTGGGATTTGATAGCAATAATGCTTTGGAGTTATATATATTAACAATAATATTTGTAAAAATATTATATTGTACATATTATGCATCACATTGTTTTTTCATCAAGAATGTTTGAACATTATTACCTTTTTCAGGCACTTGCAGTGCTGTGCGCTGTATGCAATGCAATACAAATGCAACATTCTAGTAAGCTCTTTTTTATCTTTCTTGAATCAATGCAGAATCGAGCTTAAATATGTTAATAATCCAACTATTCCTACATATTCTAAACTTGGCAACAATGTAATTCTTTAATCCATTTATGAAAGAGTTTTGTCTATGGGCATTAAGTATTGTGAGGAACCTTAAGACAGTAACCAACTGCATTTCCAGTAAAAAATATAATTGCAGCAAAGTACTTCATGGTTTTATATTTTCTGAAGGCAAAAAATTTTTTTGATTCAATTTTAGATCTTTGGAAAAACACATTTCAATTGCCAGCCCACGGTATGTGAAATTTAATTTCAACACAACCATTCTTTCTACAAGGTTTTGAATGTAATCAAATAAAAGTTACTTGGAAAAGTTTCTTCTAGTTTCATAATTTTGAACTTAATTTCAATTAGAATTTGCTGCTAGTATTAATTTCAAAATATATTTTATAATATTTGAATGAATGTAAAATGGAGGAAATTAATAGTATCTGATACCACAAACCATCTTGACTGAAGGGGAGGGGTGTTGGAAGCTCAACACACAATGCATTGCAGTGTGGTACAGCACACACAAAAAGTTTATCCTGAGAGCTGTGTGCTGCCATTACCTCTGACATGTCGCTCAATGAGCAGAGCAGCTATAGCAGAAACCCTTGCAGAACCCTTGTAATAGGACAGGGTGAACTTGTGCATATATCTCATTGAAAGTGCATTCCAAAATTAATTAGAAGCTATCACATGTTAATTATTACAATAATTATAATCTTATAATATAGAACAACATATAAATATGTACAACTTAACAGTCTTAAAAAACAGAAATAACATTTCATTGTAGAAACAACAGAGGTGTCATGTTTTCATCTCTGCTATTAACAAGCCCTGTGATGGACAAAACATTTCCCTCAATCAGTCTTTTAAAGTCATAGAATTCTTATATAAATCTCCTAAACTCTTTCCAACATAAAATATAAAGAATGGGTATATCCACAGATTTATATAGCCGCCTGGCAGCTATGTCGGAGTTTTTTGCTCTTTTCTTCGTTTTTGCTAACCAGAAAGGGGACCATTTTAAATAGGACACTAATAGCACTTTCTGAAGTATCATCAGAAAAAATTATACAATATGTAATGTAGAAATGAAGTACCCAACATATGACCCATATCATCACAATACTTCACAGGTATACATTTCCCTATGATATAACAATATTTACCCGCAATGAAAATGTACATTGTTTAAACAATAGCATTTTTTCCACAGACATGCATACTGACCAGACATTCTTGTCTTCAGAAATTCAATAAAATAAAATTAAAATTAGAAAAAAATTAACAAGCTTCAAATGTATGATATTCAACTCAAATTATCTTCTTTAATAACAACACAAAGCTTAATAATGATATATTTTCTTTTGTCCTGTATGCATTTTAAAGCAACTAAATTGCAAATCCTGCACACAATTCAGTCACTTTGCAAAAACTGTACAATAATTTCCGTACCAGCAGTGAGTGTAATAAACATTCATGTAATATGATAAATTTCAACTATCATTCAAGAGTATTAGACACTCCCTTCACAGAACATATCTGCCTCCATTAGCACTAAATTTTTGAAGAACTATCATATCCTTATTTTGATCATGGATCCTTGGGTTTTGTAACACCAAATTATAATTTTTGATATATAAATGTAATTTCTGCTGCCTTTCTACTTCTACAGACACACATCACGCAAACAATGCAATTAAAACTGAGGATTACTTCATGCCATTACACAGACCAAACTAAGAATGACTACCACACCTGCTATACCCACAGAGGGTTAAAAGCCTGAGGGAGAAAACTAGGACAATACAATACAGCTGCACAATACAGAAACTACCGACAATGAAATGTTCCCTATGGTATTGACAACTGTTAACACTCTTGCAAGTGACAGGGTACATCTGACATTCGAAGGGAGAAAAATGTTTCAGATGCCCTTTGGAGCAGGTTCTGACAGTAGGCATGCATACCTGTGACTTATATCACCCCAAAGGCAAAAAGAGACAAACCTTACACAATAAAATTAAATATTTTGAAGTGCTGACCAATACTCAAGTCTGAGTCATTCAGACCTTTTCTGTCATTCTTATGCCCATCCATCTTACTACTAACAAAATGAATCCCATTTAATCCACAAAAGTACCCTTTACTGTTTAACAGAATAGCATAAAATCTTACAGAGTTGGCACAGATCCCAAAAATCCTATGGAAATAAAATACCCTACACAAAAGGACTGCATTCATGTCAGTTTGCCTGTTCACTGGTGCTATGGTGGCCAGGGAGTAGAAAGACTGGTGCAAACTACCACCCATCACCATGCTACCTACACTGCATTTGGACTGTGATATACCACCTATGTAATTATATACTTAAAAATATTATCCAGATTCAAGTTAGCCTACTCTACCTCTCCTAGCATTGTTGTTTCTAATACAGCTCCAACAAAAATTTGTAAAAATGCAATAAAAGTAATCAAAAAAGGAAGCCAACTGATATGCACAAGGTGATTCAATCCAAATGTAGCAAACACCTGCCCTTTGCATGTTGGGCAGTACACATGACCTCAAGTCAGAGAAAGTAGTTCTTTTGTTTAAGCACATAAAAACAATGTTTAAATACCACCAACAAAAATATAGTCAGAACTATATTCAGGTCCCGTCAGTTCAAGACGACAACATAAAACCACCTTCAATAGAAAATCCCCTACAAAGTAAGCATAAACATTAGTTTTGAAAACTACATAATCAACAAATTAATAATTTCCTACATAAATCTAAGAGAAGTATCATTATTGAACTGTGCAGATGACCAGTAACGATAATGAATGTTCCAATTAACACCTGAAGAAAATAAAAAAGAAGACTGTATCAGACTTATGCAGAATTATAATCACAGATCATGAGCAAGCCTGTGCAATCAGTTGGCTCCCTGCCCTGCAGGCTGGTAAACTGCCAGCCCATCACCTGCAGGAGCGAGCACCCCTTGCATCAGTCTTCATCCCCCTGAGTCCTCATCAGCAGCACACAGTTTCAAACCATGAAAAACTCACCACATGAACAACACAGTTATGTGGCCTAAACCTAACCATCACAAATCAGCTCCAGGCCACAATATTCATTTATCGGAAGTTGGCTTCCAACATCTCCACAAACAGCTTGTTCATGGGTGCTTTGCCTTCCCGATGTACTGCAGTCCAGTACCTTCGAATCACCTGATCAGCCTGACGAAGTGCAGGGAGGCACAAGAGCAGCTGTTGCATGTGATGACTTGCAGATGAACTTCTGAAAAAAATAAAACAAGATAATTCCTTCAATCAAACAGATACTCAATAGTAAGTTGATAATTAATATATTTTATTTAAAAAATTGCATTTACATGTAGTTAACTTTTTGTATAATCTCTGTATATAAAACAAAGTCGGGCTAGTTACAGCATTTATAACTCAAGAATGGCTTGTCCGATTTTGATAATCTCCGATTTGTTGGTTTCATCCTCACTTCGAATAGCAGAATAACTATTAAAATGATGATGATGATGATGATGATGATGAAGATGAAGATGAAAAAGAAGATGAAGATGATGAAGATGAAGATGAAGAAGAAGAAAACAAGATGACGACAGAAATAAATTAACATTCATGTTAAATGCAACCCGCAACACACTCGACAGGACTTTTTTTAATCTGTACTGATAAATAACTCCTACGAAGTGTTCTTGGGCATTAAAAATTAAATGTTCGGGCCAAAAGCCTCAAATAAATTTTTCTCACACCATAATCTACAAGATTATATATTTTTGAATATTTTATTACATGTTTGATGTGTGGAGGGGGGAGAGAGAACGAGAGAGAAAGGGAGATGAAGGGCAGAACAACGTCTGCCGGGCTCCGCTAGTCAGTAATATTAGTAACACACCCATAAAGTAATATTTATACGTTTAATTTGATTTACCAAGTCAGAATCATGAACATATAGCAAGAATTTCATCTGTAGGATACAGTAAGGAATAAGAGCCACCATCAGTAGTCAATTACAATTCTTTGCCATTGCAAATAGTTTTTATTACAAAGAAGCAGAAATCGCTAGCCTAAGTATCTGATTAAAACTCTTAAAACTGTACCAGGCCGGTTCGGATGTCCTAACAAATGGAGAGATTGTCAGACCGACATACGGGGAGACAAACAGAACATCAGAAAGACAGACTGACCGACCGGAAGACACAGAAACACCGATCGACTGGAACACAGACCGACAGACCAACCGACGGGAGAAAGACAAATGAACAGGTTGACAGATCGAATGCAGGGCCAACAGACCGAACGACGGGGCCAACAGGCCGAATGAGGGGCCGGCAGAATGAACATCGGCCTTGCAGACATAACGGCGGCACGACAGATCGAGCAACGGGCCGACAGACAGGCGGGCAGGTGGAGCGATCGACAGAAGGAAGGGCAGACGGACCTCTGTCGGACGAACAGACCGACACCCTGACTTGCCGACGGAGAAACAGACGGGCGGGCGGGCTGACTGACTGACCGACTGAGAGATGGTGGTACAACGGACAGACTTACTGACTCATGACTGAAGGACAAACTGACTTACTGTCTGAAGGCGAACGGACCGATTTAGTGGCACATGACGGCAAACGTACAGACTGACTGACTGTCAACAAACGGACAGACTGATGTCAGACGGACTGAAAGAATATCCGTCGGGCGGACGAAATGCATGCCTTTCGGGCAGGCGGACAAACTGATTGACTGACGGACGGACTGAATGACTGTTGGGGGCGGACGGACCGGAATGACCGTCGTATGGTCGGTCGATTGGAATGACCGTCATGCGGTCGCTCGATCGGACGAACAGATCGAATGACCGTCGAACAGACCGAATGACCACGATACTTACAGCAAGCTTTCCTTGTTTAACGATACATTACTCACTCCTTGTGTCAGTTTTCCTCCATAGGTACAGTTACCCTGTATAGTTCTCTTCTGATTGTGCTTTGGAAGTCCGCTTCATACGAAACTGGGATATTTCGAGTTGCCAGACAGTGGGCCATTACTAATTACTTTTGTCGTCCGTATTCATGGGGGATCTTAAGCACCCAACATAGTTCACGTTTCACAGTGTGAATGATATACACGTATCCTCGAGTTCATACAATTGGTACTCATAAAAACGCTGACACTTTACAGTCACTATCAGAATGCTATATAACAGGAAGGAACGCTGATTGGGAAAATGCGTTCAGGAATTTTAAAAACTTTTTTCTTATTTTTACCGATTTAAACCATAATTTCAAGGAAATGTTTCACGATAGCATTCACATAACTTCAGTTTCATCTACAATGATAAGAACACGACCGGAAACCGTTATCATCTTGAAAATAAAGCCTTGCAGGATAGTGTAATTGATGAACACTGGCAGGAACAAAGTACATCTGATACACAGAGTTCAAAAGCCCTGTGGTTGCAAATTAAAATAAATAACAGAGCAAATATGGACTTATATTCATATTCATTCAAATGAATTTTTCGTTGATAACAGATTCTAAAAATTAAAGTTACATGTAAAAACTGTTTGATAACATTGATTTTGAAAATTGTAGAAAACAAAAAAGGTTAGCAACAGGACTCACCTAACTACTGCTACACAATCAGATAAAGCTGCGAGTATAGTGTCTCGAAACTTCTTGAGAGCAGCGAGGTCATCCATACGCACATCGGAATTAGCCAGTACAAGTGCTTTTAGCACATAATACTCTTCTTCCGCTATTGCTAGCCTCTCAAGCCTTTCGACAATGTGCATGCACTGAAAAACAATAACAAACAGATATGATTAATAAAATGTTAAGTACTAAAAATACAAAATAAATATTTAGCCTTGAGAAAAAGAATAACTATATTTTACAGTAAAACCTGTCTCTAACTGAACCTCTAAAGCATAAACCAGCAATAACTGACAAAAATCACAGAACGGCACGATTTTCCGTGACGAAATCGACTCCTAAGTCGGAAACCTGCTAAATGCGAAAACAATTGTTTTTAGAGAACGCTAACCTGGCTAAACTAGTGGTGCTACAGTATAGCAGAAACTTTGTCTTGCTAACTGACTTCCTATTATCTTGAGTCTGGGATAGCTTTTCGGTTTTGCAGCACCCTTTTCCCTGCATCTATCTATCAGTGTCTTGACGGCCTCCTAGAGCCTACGCGGTACCTAGCGCTTCTTGGCGAACATTCCCTGAAAAGAACACATTCACGCTCCCCGAACACCTATCATAGGACTCTCACGGCCTTGTACCTTTACACATTTGTCCATGAAATCTATTGGCCCTATCTCTGAGCATGTTCCACTGTAGAGATCTAGTTCTTCAATTACACACACAGTTGAGCCTGTGGGATCGAGGGATTATGGAAAGATTTGGGTATATCTGTGATACAGTAGACCCTTTTTATAAGCTCCCTTTTGACGTACGATTGCGACGTTTGAGCGAACGCGCGCATGCGCACAGTGGCCCCTGGGGCGGAAGAGCTGGAACATGCGCGCGTTCGCTCAGACTCCGGAAACCGTTCGTCAAAAGGGAGAGTGTAAATGCCGCCTACGCCGCGAACACGAATTAGAACACTCATACCTTACGGGGTTTCGAACAAACAGACCACGTAGTTGGGCTCACCTGTCCCAAGTCCCTGTCTCACTAGTCCGACTCGCTAGATACTACTATTTGCAGATGTTACGGGTATCTTCTACATATCTACTATTTGTATACTATATACTAATATATAAACACAGAAGTGCATATACATACAGCGCAATATTATAGGAATCTACCGAAAAAATAAGATAAAAAATTGTGCTATCCTCCTTTAAAGGTCTGGAGTACTATATGCAATGATTTACAACCACAAACCATAATATAGTTTCAAAATAATTACTTTTTCTGGGCATTTTGTGTCTAGCTTTACATCACAGATTCAAAAGTGCATCAAAGTCAATAGTTAAGCTGCGCGCCACCAGAAGAGATCTACAACTGATTTCATCTATGTCCAGAATTATTACGAAATTCTTTGGGGTTTGAATAAGGCAATGTAATATTTGTGTGTGAATGTTGGTGGAACATTTACAAGAAAGCCATAACCAAAGTAGTAAAGAATGTCAATGTACATTGTCCTTACCCGTGTTATATACTAACAATGGCAAGAAAACATTGTGAGTTTCAAAATGTTTAAAAATTGAGGTAGGCTGAGAGAGTAAAAAGTACCATAATATACAGAACAGAATATACAACAATGTACAATGTGCATTTTGTATACTTTCTAAACCTATTCTTTTACAGAAATTTGTG